TTTTTAAAAGGGGGGGGGGAGTGGGGGAAACCCACACGGCCTCCCGGGCAAGAAGCAAACCGGGGGCAAGAAAAAAACCCCTTCCCCCCCGGATAGGGGGCCCCCCCCCCCCCCCCCCCTCGGCGCCACCCAGGGGAATCGGCCGCCCCGCCTTCCGTGCGGCGCGGCACCCTGGCGCCCCGAGCCCGAGTACCCTCCCCCTCCCCCCCCCCCTCCTCCCCTTCCCCTGCAATCCCATCTCTGCGAACGCCGGCCGATCCATCTGCGAGCTGCGTGATCCACGCGCACGCTCGCCAAGGGCTAGGCGCTCTCGCCATCCGCGCACCTCCCCCCCTGGTCGGCGTCCACCGCACGCAACGACAATCCATCCATCCCGATTATGATCCCTTTCCCCGACCCAACAAACAAAACAAAAAAAGAAATATATCAAGTGAATTCTTTTTCGCGTGCGAACCGGCCCTCCTGCGCCCGGCCACTCGGTCCTCAACGGCCCTCGCGGATCCGGGACTTAGCTTTGCGTTGCGTGATGTGGCTCGCCGCCGCATCCACCGCCTCGGCCACCGCCTCAGGGTGCAACGAGACGCAGCGCGGGTGCGCGTGCATGACTGGTGAGTGCCGCTTCGCCAGGAGCATCGCCGCGGACGAGGGTGCCTGGATCTTCTGCCTGCACAACCCGCCGCTCTCGCCGCTGCACGCCACTGGCTCTGCGCTCTTTGCGTTCGTCGAGGCCGAGATCACGTACTCTGGCAAGGCGGAGGTGCACAAGGCGTCCGAAGACACCGAGTTCCTCGACCTGACCCGCACCGCCTCGGCCGAGGCGCGCGCGCGGGAGTGGTGCCGCCACCTGGAGGAGGTGAAGTCGTCGTGGTCGTCGCTGCTGCCGTCGTGGAGCGCTGACAAGCGCACGGATCGCTACTCGTTCTCTCCGCACTACCACTCCTGCCTCGCAGTCTGCCCGCGAGGCGAGGCCGCCGACGTGCAGGTCTCCTTCCGCCGCCGCTCGCCCTTTGAGCGCGACAGGGCGCGGGCCCGGCCCTCCGCACGAGTCCAGGCTCGGGGAGGCCCCCCCGACCCTTCCCGGCTCCGCGCCCTAGGCGCGCCGCCCCTCCGCCTACGAGTCTGGCGCAGCAGCGCTGCTGGTCGGGCTGCTGCTGCTCGCCAGCGCGGGCTACCTGGCCCGCTCGACCGCCTTCCACTATGGGTTCGGGATCGGCGCCTGGATGGCGCTCGGCGTCGCCCTCGTCGCCGTGCTGCTCATACAGCGGACGACGAGCGGCCGCAAGGGCGCGCCTCGCCGCCCTAGAGGGAGAGGTGGAAGGCACGAGGCGGACTGGTGCGCTCTGCGAGCAGGCGCGACCCTCTCGGCGGCAGCCTTCCTCGGCTGGGGCGGCTGGCTCCTGCGGTGGGGCAAGGACTACCTCCTCAGCCTGTGGACCTCCTACTCGAAGTAAGCACAAGTACCAAGTACTCGAGGCCCACACCCTCTCCGCGCCTCCGTGGGGAGACCACCCCCCCCTCTCCCCCCCCTCCTCCCCCCCCACCCCTCCACCCCTCCTCGCCCAACCTCCCGACCGCTCCGCCCCGCCCCTCACCCACCCACACCCCACCCCCACCCCTCCAGGTGGGTCCTCGCCTACCTCGGCGTCTTCGGCGTCGTCGGCTACGCGTGGACCTTCTGGCAGCTCCGCGGAGGACGCCTCGAGCCGTGGAAGGCTAGAGAGAAGCCACCGCCCTCCCCCACCCCGTCCCTCTCCCTCCCCTCCCCCACCCCGTCCCTCCCCCACCCCGTCCCTCCCCCACCCCGTCCCTCTCCCTCCCCTCCCCCACCCCGTCCCTCCCCCACCCCGCCCCTCCCTCCCCGCCCCGTCCCTCCCTCCCCGCCCCCCCCCCACCGCGGAGCCCGTCCCGCAACCCAGGCGGGGCTGCTCGAGCGGCTGCTGCGCCTCGGCGCGTGCGGCCTCCTCCTCTGCGCCTTCCACTCTGCCCGCGTCTGCCTCGCCGTCCTCCTCATCGCCCTCGCCGTCAAGTTCGCGCCGACGGGGCACACGCACCGCGCGAGCCCACGCTTCACCGCCCCGCCGCCGCCGCCCCATACCCTCCCTCCCTCCGCCGCAGGCTGGGCAGCTCCCTACAGCCGTGGCTCGCGCGCGAGGTGCCGCCCGCGCCGCCGCCGCCCGCCTACCGCGACCGCTACCTCACCGAGGAGGAGTACAGGCTGCAGGGCCAGCTCACGACCGACCGGGAGCTGCAGGCCGCAATCATCAAGCCACTCCCCGCAGCCCGGCCCGGACAAGCGCCCGCTCACGCGCCGCCCGCGAGCGCAGGCGCTCTTCGCCTCGCCCGAGGGCCGCCGGTGGCTCACCGCCGCCGCGGGCGACGGCCGGCTGCGGGTCGGCCCGCGCGAGGGCAGCGGTGGCGGCGACGGCGGCGGCGGCGACAGCAGCGATGAGGACGACTAGGGGCGCCGAGGGGGAGGGCGGGCGGCGACAGGGTTATTGCCTTTTTATGATTGCGGCGTGGCGCCGGGAGGCGCGGCAGCGCGAGCCCGAGCGCGCGCCACACGCACACCGGGGTAGGGGTGGTTATCTGCCGTGCCCGCCGGTTCACGTGCCTATTTGTGTGGCGGTCCCAGATTTGTGTTTGTCGTCTGCTATGTGCTATAGTGCTAAGGCTACCAGGTAGTATCTTATCTTTTGATACGACGCGCGGGAAAATCAAAATGAGAGCGTCCTCTAGAGGGTGTGGATCGGGTGAGTTGACGGAAATTCAGGGACCCGCGACCCACTTCCTGAGCCCTGGCTGTCAGGCTGTCAGGTGCTGACTGCTGTCAGGTGATCTGTCGGGCTGTCGGGCAGCTGTCAGGCACTGTCAGGTGCCTCTGTCAGACCAGCTGTCAGGTGCTGTCAGTGCTGTCGGGTGCTGTCGGGTGCGTGTCTGACAGTCGAGGGGATCTGTAGCTGTCGGGTGCTGTCGGAGCTGTCGGGTGTTGCTGTCAGACGCTGTCGGGGAGCTGTCGGAGCTGACAGGCTGCTGCTGCTGTCAGACGTTGGGCTGTTGCTGTCAGGTGCTGTCAGGTGGTGCTGTCGGGGTGCTGTCAGGCTCTGACACACACCAGCCACACTTATGACACTATCAAGAGGAGACCAGCAGGACTCTACTGGCGGCTACGCAGCTGCCCCCCTCCTACGGCGTGATCACGCCGGCGGCGGCGACCGCCTGGGGAGCGCAGATGGCGGCGCAGGCGCAGGCGGCGGCGGCGGCACAGACGGCGGTGGCCACCCCCACCCAGACGCCGTAGGCATATGGCTGTAGGGCCCCAGAAGGCTAGCTGGTAGCTTCATTTGTAGTAGCACAGCCGCCGGTGATAGAGAAGGGGTCCGCAGAGGTGGGGCGGGAGGGTTGAAAGAGAGACCCATGACCATCCCATGACTACATGGACATGGACATGGACATGGACATGGACATGGACCACACTCACATGTCTTTGCATGTAATTTTGTTACACCCTCATGGGGCACAAGAAAGAGGCTCTACGGGGTCTGTGTACGGTCTGTGCTGCTGTCGGGCTGTCAGCGCTGCTGTCAGACCACTGTGTGCTGTCGGGCTGTCGAAAGTGCTGTCAGCGCTGTCAGGCTGTCGGGCACTGTCAGGCGCTGTCCGGGGTTGCTGTCAGGCTGTCAGACCAGGGCTCAGCCCACTTCCGCCACAGACGCGAGACGGTCCCGCGCCTCGCCGCTCTTGTAAGACCGTCAGGGGCGGCGACCCCCCCATCTACAGATGATATGCGCATCTTGAGGGGACAAGGGTAAGTAGGGTATAAAGTATCCGTACGGCACGAATGGCTGGTTATACTGGGGTACATTAGGAAGTCAGCGCCATACTGCCATACCTGACAAGGACTCACACTGTGGTAGGGCCAGGTATCCGTACTGCTGTAGCAGTGCCCAGTGCGCCCGGTACCCGGATACCGGCGTCCGGCCTCCTCGTACTGCAATACTGCGAGAGGGGCGGCACAATACTGCCATACCTCCCACACACAAGTGTCGAAGTATGGCGAAGCATGCATACTTCAATACCACAGACTTCGCCGCTTGTACGCGGATACTGCAGATACTGCAGATACTGCAGATACTGCAGATACTGCAGATACTGCAGATACTGCAGATACTGCAGATACTGCAGATACTGCAGATACTGCAGATACTGCAGATACTGCAGATACTGCAGATACTGCAGATACTGCAGATACTGCAGATACGGGTGGGTGCCGATTGCGCTATACAACAGCGGCTGCGGCACCCCACAGCCTCGGTGGAACAGCTGCCAAAAGCAGAATATGCACTATTACGAGGGGGGTGTGGCATCTCTTGCGAGTCTCGCGAGGGGCGCCTACTAACCTCGCTTGCGAGGGGCGTGTGGCATGTCTTGCGGGGCTCGTGAGGGGCGCCTGCCAACCTCGCTTCGTCGAAGCGGCGCTTCGTACACACAACCACCCTGCCGCAACCGTCGCCGGCGCGCGACACGTTCCCGTCGGCCGGACTGTCCTCGTCGAGTGTGTGTCGCCAACCAAGGCGGGACGCACTCAGGGACGGTGCCGACGAGACGTGAGCCACGGTTGCGTGCAGACATGATTGCGTCACCTGGTGGGTCGCGGCGACACACGCGCTCAGGAGTGCAAGCTTGAACTTTGCAGGCATTGGCCGCCGCTGCCGGTACAGTGCATCCTGGCAGAGCCAGCGCGGCGGCGGCAGATCTGGGCTGCGGGGGTGGTGCTGCCACACCCCACCCGCCTGTTGCCACAGACGACCCGGATACCGCGGATACTGCAGATACTGCAGATATTGCAGAATACCGCAGATACTGCAGATACTGCAGATACTGCAGATACTGCAGATACTGCAGATACTGCAGATACTGCAGATACTGCAGATACTGGAGCGCGCCCCCGAGATACCTGGTTACTTGGGGGGGTTGCGGGACCACGTAAGGAGTGGTATCCCTGTACCCATACTTGCGGGTGTGACCGCCGCTACCTGTGTACTTGAGACGAGTTGCAACATACTGCCATATGTGCGTCTCAAACTCCCCATACCAGCATACGTCTAGCTATGCGTCTACGAAGTATCTTTAAGTACCAGCGTATGCCTACCTGGCGCAACAGCAGGATTTACCTGCCTACCCCGAAGATGGAAATAGATACCCCGATACGTTCATACCTCACGCATACCCTACTTCCCCCTGTCCCCTGAGATAATATGCATCTAAGAAGATGCGCCCTACTTGGACTGCGAGTAATGGACATCTCTACCCAAGACCAGTAGATCGTTGGGGTAGAGATAGTGATCTGTGATCTGTAAGGGTCCGCCCGCAGGCGCATTTTGTATACCGAGGCGGTGCCCGGTGCCGAACCTGTCGGACCTTTAGACAGCATTGTAGATCCCTGGGTGATGGAGAGGGCGGTCTGTCGGCGCCAAACCACATCCCACCGAGGTGGGCAGGTTCCACGCGTTCCAACCGTGATCCAGACCGCCCCGTTGGAGGTAGACCGCTCGTCTAGCCAATCAGCCTTAAGCGAGCGGCCTGGCCGTTGGAATGGCCGAGTTTGGTGGACTTGCGTCCTCGCATCGGTCGTGATCACAAGCATGGTTACAATTCAAGATTAAGACTGGCGGATCTCTCACACGGACACGCCCAAGTCTCGCCAGTAGATCCCTCCTGTGTCCGGTTCCCCATTCAAGACTAAGATCGAAGATTGAGATTGTGGATTGCAGATCGCTGAGCAGCAACAACGGGCCAAAATGTGGAGACAGGAGATGGAGAATGCAGATTGTAGATCCTAGCGCCCAGCCATCCGCCCCAGATGTGAGATCGAAGATTGAAAATGGAGGTCGTAGATTGCTGCCGGCGGCGACAGTGGCCAAGTAGAAGATTGGAGATTGGAGATGAGAGCGATGGTCAGTGTGAATGAATCCATAGCGCATCTCCTTGAAGGTTCGAGCCCCCCCGCCCCTCCCCCGGCCCCCGAATCGAGATTGGAGATTGGAGATGGAGATCGGAGATCCAGGGCGGTCTGCAAACACGGAGCGCGCTGCGCGGCGCGCGCGGTCTACGCCGAACTGGGGGCGGTATCGTGGTTCACGCTGCCAACTCGGCAAACAAGTTCGCCGTAGACCGCGCGCGCAGCGCGCTCCGTTTGCAGACCGCCCTGGCGGACTCGTTTACACTTCCAAGCTCAAGCCAGGCGCCGCAGGCCATAAAGAGGAGCGCAGATTAAAATGGCGCCGCAGGCTCCCCGGGCCGTCCGCGCTATTAGGCTGAACAAGGTTTTCCTCTCGCACCCCGTCTCTTTTCCTTTCCTTTTTTCTCTGCAGCACCCTCTCTTTTCCTCTCTATTTTCCCGGGAAAACCATCAAATTTTCCGGGCTCTGAGCCGAGTCTGAGGCTGGTTTGGGCCCAAATGCCAAAATCAGCCAAATCGGCAAAATACCGGGTATTTTGCGGGTATACCTGGAAAACCCCGGGTATACCTGGAAAATATCCTGCGACCGCCTGGGTATCGTGCCGATTTCCTCAATTTTGCGTCAGATTTTGCCCCAGACCAGCTCTCAGACTCAGTCTCAGGGAAACTCGCGAGTTTCCAGAATGGAGCACCAAACACCCTCTGTTTTCCCTGGAAATTTCCGGAAACGCAAAGTGCTGGGGACCCTCTGTTTTCCTTTTTGTTTGCCGGGAAAGCTTGTGCAGGCCAATACCGCGCACAGAACCTTTATCCCCCCCCCAATTACTCCCGTAACTCAAAAAACGATCTGGGTTAGTTAGCAATCAACCACTGCACCCTCCTCTTTTCACTTAGCACCTTGCGATCGTTGCCCCTGAAAAAGAAAGAAAACGGACAAAAGCACCCACGATTTCTTCCAAACCCGCGCCCGCTTTGAGCGGGAGGGCGGCTCCTGTGACGCTCATTGCTGAGCACATGGCGAAGATGGGCGGAGACGCGGTCTACGCGAAGCGCTCCGACCGCGGCTGCACGGATGTGCTCTGCCTGCTCCTGCTGCTCGCCACCTGGGGTGCGATGATCTCCGTCACCGTCATGTCGGTGATCAAGGAGCCCGACATCGTCAACATCCTGAGGTACCCGCGGGACGAGTATGGACAGTTCTGCGGGCAGCCCGGCTCGGCGACGGAGGACCTGCCGCGTGCGCTGTACCCGACGCTCGACGCTGACTTTGCGAGCCAGGTGGCCGAGGCCAGCAGCCTTCCATTCTGGGAGTACTACAAGCTCAAATTCACGTCGATCTGCGTCGCCGAGTGCCCAGACGGCCTGTCGCTCTCCGAGTCCGCCCTGGGCGTGTACGGCGGCGCGGACTACCCCACCGGAGACGCCGTCAAGGACGATTCCAGTTGGAACTACACCACGCCCGAGTTTACCTACACCTTCCGCACGGCCAACCTGTACGGGCGCTGCCTCCCTCTCGGCAACACCTTTGCGGCGCCCGAGCAGGTTCTGTGCGTCTCTCCCAACTGCTCGTATGCCATGAGCGCGCTCGCCATCAACGTGACCGAGTGCGCCGTGATCCCGTCGCGAGCCGACGAGCGCGAGACGTGGGAGGTGTGCGCCGAGGACACCGGCAGCGCCGTCTGCGACGCGCAGGAGAAGGCGTGCGAGGTTGCGGTGCGGGTCGAGACGGCGCAGACCTTCCTCCCGGCCGACGGCGACGAGACGACGGACGCGCTCACGCGCAAGCTTGCGCAGTACGTCGCGCTCACGCTGCGCATGTGGGACTCCATCGCCGCCTCGTGGCGGGTCGTGCTGGCGCTTGGCGTGGCGCTGCCGGTGGCGCTCGGCTTCATCTACGCGGTGCTGCTCTCCCTCTTCGCGGGCGTGGTGATCTGGTCGCTGCTCGCGCTGCTGCTCGGCGGCATGGTCCTGCTCTCCGCCATCCTGTGCGTGCACGCCGGCTGGCTCGACGTCCCAACCGACGCGTACTCCACCTTTGAGGACGCCCTCGGCGCCGTCGCCAGCAACGACACCGCCGCCATCGCGTCCGCGCAGGCGGAGTCGCTGCTCGTGCCGGCCGGCTCGCTGTCCAAGGACTGGTACGTCGTCTTTGCCGTCCTCTCCATCGCGGCCACGCTGGTCATGCTGCTCTGGTTCTGCGCCTCGTGGCGCGCCATCCGCAGGGCAGTGGCCATCACCGAGGAGGCGACGAAGGTCTTCTCGACGCTGCCGTCGCTCATGATCTGGCCGTTCGTCGAGCTCGGCTTCCAGGCCGCCTGGCTCGTGTACGGCGTCTTCGGCCTCGCGGTCATCTCCTACCCGCCCGTCTGGGGAGGCGGCTCGACCACCACACTGCTCGCCCTCGCGCACGTCGCCGGCACGCTGTGGGCGATCCAGTTCATCAAGGCGTGCGACTACACCACGATGGCCGCCGCGGTCGCCTACTGGTTCGTCACCACCAACGTGGAGAAGGACGGCTGCTGCGGCGCCGCAAAGTGTTGCCGCGGCTGGTCCTCCGGCCTCGGCTTCCCAAAGCTGCTCGACGCCGCCTGGACCGTGTCCACGCGCCACCTCGGCTCGCTCGCGTTTGGCTCCGCCTGCATCACCATTTGCCAGCTGCTCCGGCTCGTGCTGTACGCGGTCCACGCGGCCACCAAGCAGACGAAGGCGGACCGCAACTTCCTCGTCCGCTTCCTCTTCAAGTGCGCCATGTGCGCCCTCTGGTGCCTCGAAAAGTGTGTCGAGTTTGTGTCGTACTATGCGTACGTGCACATCGCCATCGACGGCACGAGCTTCTGCGTCGCCTGCCGAGACACGTTTGGGCTGATCGTTAAGTACCCGGCGCAGACCGCGATCAACTCGCTCGTCAAGCGGCTGCTCTGCGGCGTGCTGCTCGGCCTCTCCACCCCCTTCCTCGCCTCCGCCTGTTGCTTCCTCTACCTCGACTCGCTCGACGACTTCACGGCGAGCCACTCGCCGCTCTACTCCGCCGCCGCCGTGTTTGTCATCGCGTGGTTCGTCGCGTCGGGCATCTCCAACGTCTTCGAGGCCATCCTCGACACCGTCTACCTCTGCGCCTTCCAGGACATGGACCAGAACTCGCCGCCGCGCTACCTCTCCGCCTCGATGCGCTCTGCGCTCGGCATCGACGCTGCGAGCGAGGAGGCGGGAGGCTCGGCCGAGTACTTCAAGAAGGCGTCAGACCGTCACCAGCAGGCCGGAGGGGCGGTGCCGGTGGCCAGGGAGGACGGCCAGCCCCCGATGCGTGCGATCTCGACCAGCGACGGCATCCGCGCGTGAGCGGGGCCGCGCGAAAAGCAACTCTCGGACGCTGCTTTCCCATGGCGCTCGAGTCCCATGGTACATCACACTAATCACTATCAGCTGGAGTCGTACGTACGTGTTAAGTAGCATGGAGAACACGCCGACATCTGTCAGAGACCGATCTGTGTAAGACGACGCGCGCGCAACACGCGCATGTGTTTTCAGTATCAATATATTGCGGTGTGGCGCGCGCGTGGGGGGGGATGTAAAGACTAAAGAGGTGTTCCTCTGGGCCCATCACTGCCCTCGTCCGGTGCGTTGAGGGCCCGGCCGCGACCGACTCAGCTGGGTCGCGGCATGCCCACGAGCACGGAGTGCTGCCCGCCCGTGCTCGCGTCGAGCACCGCGCGGCTCGCCAGCTCAGGCCCCTCAACCAGCGTCGGGGCGGTCTCGTCCTCGCCGCGGCCCGTGCAGAGCTGGCCCATGTCGCCGACGCCCCACGCGTACAGGTCGCCTGCACGGAGACCGCCCCGGTGAGAGGGTGAAGGGGGGGTGGGAGAGAGGGAGGAGGGAGGAGGGGCGCGACTCGCCCGAACCGTGTGTGAGAAGCTGCAACTCGGCGGTATCTCGGCGACATCTCGGCTACGTCTCGCCCGAGCGCGAGACGACCAGGTTGTGAGAGTGGCCGCACACGATCTTGTGGCCGGCGACGCCGCAGAGCGCCGCCACGAGCGTCGGCGTCGGCTGCTGCTGGACGCCATCGCCCAAGCCGAGCTGGTGGTTGTCGCCGCGCCCGAAGGCGTAGACATCGCCGCGAGTGGTGAGTGCGAGGGAGTGGTGCTCGCCTAGCGCGGGGTGTCGGCTCGTGTCACGCCTCTCTGCGCCTGGCGGAGCGGACCAGAGGCCCGAGCTCGCCCCCGGCGAGCATGCAGACGCCGAGCCCCTGCAGGCCGCCGAGCAGGGTCGGGGTGCTCGTCTTGTTTGGGTCGAGCGAGCCGAGGCCGAGCTGGCCCATGTTGTTGAGGCCGCACGAGTAGACGTTCTCGCACTCGGTCAGCAGGAAGGTGTGGTACGCGCCTGGCGGAGGGGGGAGGGGGAGAGGGGAGGGGGGCGAGGTCGGGCGAAGGCGGGGCAGGGGAGGGAAAGGAGGATGCGAAAGGGCGCCTGCAAACGCCGCCTTGATCTGCAGCCGGTCGTCGAATTTAAACTCCTCCGCCTGCCGCTCGGAGATGGCCGCCTGCGGGCGCCAGGTCAGCCGGCGCCATGTGGAGGCTCGCCCCAGATCTCGTCCAGATCTCATCCACATCTCGGCTGTGTCTCGGCCGTGTCTCTGCTGTGTCTCCCCATATCTCGCACCCGGTGCTCGAGGTACAGCGTCGCCGCCTCAGTCTCCCCATATCTCCCCATATCTCCCCATATCTCGCACCCGGTGCTCGAGGTACAGCGTCGCCGCCTCAGTCTCCCCATATCTCCCCATATCTCCCCATATCTCGCACCCGGTGCTCGAGGTACAGCGTCGCCGCCTCAGTCGCGTCCCACGCCGCGTCCTCCTTGAGCCGCGCCTTGACCCAATCGCGAAAGTTCTCGTTGAGCACCTACAGAGCGAGCCAGCGCCGCGTCCGGCGGTGCCGCGTCTCGCTCGGCGAGGGGCGGCGGCGTGTGGCTGCCCTCGCGTGCCGCTCGTACAGGCTGGTGCCGGGAGGGGCGGGCAGCCGCAGCGAGCGAGGCGCGCCCGGCGCAGTGAACTTCTTCTTGTCCGCCTTCTCGGTCGGCCACTCCTCCTCGTGCATCGCCTGGCCGCTCTCGTTGCAGCCCCACGCGTACACCTGGCGGACGGCGGCTCGCGGCTCGCGGCTCGCGGCTCGCGGCTCGTGGCTCGCGGGTCGTGGTTCGCGGGTCGTGGTGTGCGGAAAGAGGTTGTTGTGCGGCCCGCGCCACTGCTCTGTGGCCTGCTGCTGCTGGCTGCTCTGCTGCTGGCTGCTCTGCCCCTGCCTGCTCTGCTGCTGGCTGCTCTGCTGCTGGCTGCTCTGCTGCTGGCTGCTCTGGCTTCCTAGGGCCGCCGCGCGCCTCGTACCCGTCCGCAGACACGACGACCGTGTGGTCGGTGCCCGAGGCGATGGCGCGCGCAGTCACGCCGGGAAGGACGCGCCGCGGCTGGTCGGCCTACTCCACCTCGCAAGCAAGCTCACCCCTCGGCCCAAGGGCAGGGGGCGGGCAAAGGGTGCCCTGCCCGCCTTTGCGAGGTCGGGGGAGTAGCCGATGTACCCGTTCGAGTCCTTGTAGGTGCCCCAGGTGAAGACGCGGCCGTCCCGCGCCAGGGCGGCCGAGTGGTTGTCGCCGCAAGTCACACTCTTCACCGGCACGCCTGGGGTTAGGGTTAGGGTTAGGGTCAGGGTTAGGGTCAGGGTCAGGGTTAGGGTTGGCAAGTCACCACTCTTCACCGGCACGCCTGGCCGACCACACACCGGGACGCGTCACCAGCCTCCCCTCCCCTCCCCCCTCCCCCCCCTCCCTCCCGCCACCTGCTAGCTCGCCACCGACCTCGCGCGGCTCCGCCTCCTCGCCCGGCCTGCCGAGCACCTCGTCGTCGTTGCAGCCCCACGACCAGAGCCGCCCGTCCAGCCCGAGCGCGATGCTGTGCAGCCCTCCGCACGCCACCTGAGGCAACGAGCACGCCGGGGCTTCGCGGCAGCCAGGCAGCGCACACCAAACCGCACGCGCGCAAGCCACACTGCGCGCCACACTCCACGCCACACTCCACGCCACACTGCACGCCACACTGCACGCCACACCGCCACCGGAAGTCCCGTCCCGCAGGCGCACGCCGACGGACTCCTACCCCGGGCCCACCCCACCTGGCAGATCTGCGCCGCCGCGATCGGCAGCAGCAGCAGCTTCACGCTATCGCGCTTGCCCTCGTCGCCAAATCCCAGTTGCCCGCAGTCCCCGTTTCCGGCGATCAGCAGCTCGCCGCTCTCGTTCCCCGTCCGCACGAGCGCGTTGGTGCGGCCGCGCTTGGCGACTGAGGCCGGCGCCTCCTCCGCGGGGCGCTTGGACCGTGCCGTCGCCGTCGCCGCCGCCGCTGGTGCTGCTGCGGGCGCTGCCGCGCCTCCGCCAAAGACAAAACCACCGCCGCCGTTGGCCGCTGCAGGAGCGCCGCCACCAAACGTGAACCCGCCGCCGCTGCTGGCGGGCGCACCGCCAAACTGGAAGCCGCCGCTGCCTGCGGAGGAGGGCGCACCACCAAACGTGCAGCCGCCGCCTCCGCCAGCTGGAGCTCCGCCGAATTGGAAGCCGCCGCTGCCGCCGCTGCTGCCGCCGCCGCCAGCGAACGCGGCGGCAAAGGGGCTCGGCGCGGGAGCAGCGTCGGGATCGACTATGTTGCCCTGCGCGTCCAGCTTGTGGTGCTTCGTGCCCTTCTCCACCTGCATAGGGCAGCGCGTCGACGGCTGAGTGGCGGGCGTGCACGGGAGTGCGGGCGGAGCGTGCGTGCACCATGATGGTCTCGCCGGTCGACTCGTCGATGCGCTCCTCATACTTGTCCTTGAACAGGTCGCCCCAGCCGGACATCGGGGGCAGAGACCCAGCCGGCAGCCCGGTGGGTCCCCGCGCAGCGGAGACACGAAGCCGCGCAGGCGAAGCAAGAAACGCGGCGGCATTCTTCTCCACGGAAGGCGTGTTGTCGGCGCTCGCAATCTGTGGGTTCTCGCTGAGTGTTATCTGTGACATCTGGACACATGGCCTGCAGATTTAGATCTAGCCCTCTGGGTATCATCTTAGTCGCCGCCACACCCACGAAGAACTCTCCACAAACATGAGCGAATTTTTATTTCTATCGACCGACAAAGGAGAGCAGGAGGTGAAAGGAGGTCAGCACAACTTCCAAGGACGCACGAGCGAGAAGCACAGCAGAGCAGACAGATGACGATCACCACCCAGCGCACGACCGCCAACTCTCCGGCGCAGGCCGCGAAGAACCGAGTCCGGGGGCCGACGGTCGCGGCGCGCCGGCGCGGCGCAGTGGACGCAGCCCGGTTCGCAGCTTCGCGAGCTACGGGGGTGGCCACGGCACGGCCCGGTGGCCGCCCCCGCAATGAGGCCAAGCGGTGGGCATCCGGCAAAAGCCGCAAGACGGGATTCGCGAAGGCGCGGGCCACTTTCCGCGGCGGAGGCCGCGGAAGCGTGGCGGCTGCGGAGAGGCACGACAGCATGATGACAAAAGCACGCTGGCGGGGCACCGAGGCAATCGCAAGGGAGACCCCAGCGGGCTCTTTGTCGGTCGCATCGATGCCGCAACGCAAGGACTACACCAACGACGCCGAGCACCACGGCAAGTTCCAGGTGTGGCTCCAGGCAGGCAGCTTCCAAGGCAAGGCGCGTGATGGTGCGGCGGTGCGGGCAGAGCACGCCGCTTCCTTAGGCTCACACGTGTGGTTAATAAAACGGACACCTCTACTAAATAAAACGGACACACCAAAAATAAATACAACGGACATCCCAAGCTAGGGCTGGGTGGAGGACAGACACGTCCCCACCTTTGCAGGATTTTGCAAAAGCGAGGGGGGAGGGCGCATCGCCGCGCGGAGAGGGCTGGGCACAGGGGATAAATAAAAACGACCCTCATTTTTATTTCTATCGGCCGACTCGCCGAGGACTGCCCGACCATCGGGGCTTGTCAAAGGTTTCACACGAGCCCGGCGCCAGCGGCGGCCACCATGCTTGCGCGGGCGGTTCGCGCGCCGGCAGCGCGGCTGGCGCCGCGCTGGTGCCGTCAAATGGCTGTGCAAAAGTTCCCTGTGCCGGAGATGGGCGACTCGATCAGCGAGGGCACCGTGCTCGAGCTGAGCAAACAGGTCGGTGACTATGTTGCTTTGGAGGAGGTCCTTGTGGTGGTGGAGACGGACAAGGTGACGGTGGACGTGCGGTCCCCGGCGGCTGGCACGATCACGAAATGGTTCGCCAACCCCGACGACACCATCGAGGTCGGCAGCGACTTGATTGAGGCTCGCCCGCCCGGCCCTCGCTCCACAACCTCTGCCCCGGCCCACACCACGGATGAGCCCCTTGACCCACCCACCCCGCCCCCAGATTGACGTCGGCGTCGGCGAGCCTGCACCTGGCGCCGCACCGCCCCCCGCGCCGGCGGCTGCCGCGCCGGCGGCGCCTCCCGCCGCGGCAGCTGCGCCTGCACCGCCGCCTCCAGCGCCGGCGGGGGGCCGGATCCACCCGGGCGGCGCGCCGTCCCTGATCCGCTTCCGCTCGCAGGGTGGACCTGCGGCCGCTGCCGCGCCCGCCGGTGCGCCGAAAATGGGCGCTCCTCCTGTCGGAGTGAGCGTCGACGAGCTCCCGGCGCGCTTCCGGCGGGCGCCGATGAGCGAAGATGAGATGGAGGCAGTCATGTCGGGGGGGGCTTCGGTCTCCGACTGGGCGTGGGTCAAGATCCGCTGGTGAGTCGCGCTCTCTGGCGGGGCGAGGGGCTTGGCAGGCGCGAGGCGGCCGGCGGGAGAGGCCGCCCGCACGAGGGAGGGGCCGCCTGCGGGAGGGGGACGCCTCGCCGACAGCCTCCCGGGGCGGCGGCGAGACCTCCGTGCGGCAGGGCGGGGAGGGGGCGGAGGGGAGAGGGGGGGGGGCGAGCGTAGACGCACATGGTGGCGTGCGGGGGCTGGGCGGTCGGTCGGGCGGGGCGTGTTGACTGTGTGTGTGCGAGTGCCTGCCTCGGGCCCGCCCCCTCGTGAGTCGGGAGGGGCGAGCCGTGGCATTCGGCTGCGGCGCTCCTCGAGGCGCCGTCCCCGGCAATGAGGCCCTGGAGGTGCAGAGGCCGGGCGGCGGCTGTCCAGCTTTGGTTCGCGGGTTTGATGGCGGGTGTGGCGCGGGCCTCGTCCGCTCTGTCCCAGGCGGGGCAGTGCGGGGTGCGCGCCGCCGGAGCCTGCGAACGGAGATCTCTCTCCATACAGTAGACGTCGAGTCGTTGTTTTCTCTACTCCGCCGCTTGCCCCAAACCGAAAGGCGGAGGCGGAGGCAGCCTGGCTGGCTGGCACCGGATGTGGGATGTCAGTGAGAGCAGAGAGAGATAAAAAATGTGGCTAAATGGGTTGGGTCCAAACGTTAAGAGCTGAACAGTGTTGCTAGTGTTAACAGTAACAACAGAACAACAGTGGGGCTCCCCAACAACAGTAGCTAACGTTAGGCCGGCTGAACAACAGTAAGGAAGGCCTGGCAGTGACCCACACGATGATCTCCAGCGTCCCAGTGCGGGTGTAATACCCGAAAATACCCGCGGGAAAACCCAGGTATTTTCGGGTTTTACCCGGGTTTTTTGGCATTTTCTGCTTGCTGACCACTGAACAACAGTAACAACAGTAACAAACAGTAACAGCTTGGGCTGGGGAGAACAAAGTGTTGAACAACGTTGAGGATTTCAGCCAACAATAGTGCAACTGTTAGGCCCAAAGTTAACGTTTGACAACCCTAGCGCATAAAAAGCTGAGCGAGCGCGCGTCTAGATAAAAAATAAAATCTTTTAGATATGTCGCAAAATCCACCTCCGGCCTCCGGGTTCGTAAGAGCTACATACACTGAAAATGTTAGTCGGCATCGAGGCCCACTCAGCGCGAACACGTGGCACAACGGACGAGCTCCCGGTCGCCGACATGCTCTGTCTGGCTGCGGATCCGGGGTGTGTAACGGGGGAGGGCGGGGGAGGGGGCGGGGAGTGGCGCGGCGCGCGCGGCGACGGGCGCCGACCGCGACACGCGTCTTTGAGCGGCGAGCGGGGTGGAGCGGGGGTGGGGACGCGCCTCTGGAGACCGAGGCGAGCGAGTGGGGCGGAGACGGAGACACACTCTGAGGGCGGGGCGCGGTGTGGGATTGTGAGAGGAGGCGGCAGTGGGCGGGGCGGCGATCAGCGGCCGGCGGCAGCGGGCGGCGGCGGCCAAGCGCGACGCGCACCAGCTCAAGGCGTCGCGCGAAGGTCGGTTGTTCGTCGTCCCTATCTGGGCCTGTACATACTTTTCCGACAAACAAAAAGGAAAACAGAGGGGCCCCAGCACTTTGCGTTTCCGGAAATTTCCAGGGAAAACAGAGGGTGTTTGGTGCTCCATTCTGGAAACTCGCGAGTTTCCCTGAGTCTGAGAGCTGGTCTGATGGGGCAAAATCTGAGGCAAAATTGCCGGCAACATCCCGGGCTTTTTCCATACCCGGGTTTTTCAGGTATACCCGCAAAATACCCGGTATTTTGCCGATTTGGCTGATTTTGCTTTTTGGGCCCAAGGCCAAGCAGCCTCAGACTCGGCTCAGAGCCCGGAAAATTTGATGGTTTCCCCGGGAAAATAGAGAGGAAAAGAGAGGGTGCTGTAGAGAAAAAAGGAAAGGAAAAGAGACGGGGTGCGAGAGGAAAAGTATGTACAGCCTAATCCCTACCTTCTCCTGGGAAAGTTATTTAGTACGACCCCGGTTTCGGATATCGGCGAACGATCGGAAGGGTGCCGCCTGCACACAAATGGAGTCCAGCGATGTGGGACCTCAGTCCCAGAAGCTTGGAGCTTCAGGCCGCGACCACGTGGCTAGGTGGACACTAAAGTGCCATTTTGGCGCCAAATCTTGGCGGGAAATGACACGTGGCTTGGCGGGAGTGTGGTGTGGCTGCGCTGCTCGACAGCGCTGCTGTTGAGCGCCAGCTGCTGCTCCCTTCAGCCAGACGGCCGGGCCTGCGCAGCACGACCGCTGGCCTTCCTCCTGCACCACAGGAGCGCGCCAAGGCGCGCGTCTGGGCAAGCAGTGCGTCTCATCGCGATGCGAGAGTCGACGCTGTGACGCCGCCGCTCGCCGGCTAGAATGACAGTGGCAGCATTCGAGTACGCGTCGAGCTGTGCGTACCAGCACTTGTATGCGAGCTCATTGTGTCCCTGAGCTGCTGTGGGGTGCGTGGGCTCAGCTGCGGAGCACGTACTGGGCGGCGGTAGGGGGGTGCTCCTAAATAACTTTCCCAGGAGAAGGTAGAGAGTGTTGTGTTGTGTTGTTGTTTTGTAATCCCTATCGTGGCACACGACTCACGAGGGAGGGAGGGAGTGAGCGGCGGTCGACCTCTCGGGACTCGGCGCCGACAGCGCATGCGAGTTGAGTGGACGGGCGGGCGGAGGGCGGAGTGGGCGTTACCCTGTGTGACAAGCTGACAACACGCGGTCCAGACTTCACAAAGTGGTACCGCCTGTGCCTGTGCACCCCCCCGCCGGAACGCCGCGGACCAGCAGATTTGTCCACCTTGCTGGCGCTCGCTGGCTCCTAGCATGGGCGCTGCGTGCAGCTGCTCGTCCCGGCAGGAGGGGTCGTCCGACGACACGCCGACGCCCTCGCCGCCGCTATCCACCGCCATAGCCTCCCCGGCTGAGCCGGTGCCGTCGGAGCACGAGACGGTGCACGAGGCGCAGCCAGACGTCGAGAGCGCCGAGGGCCACGGAGAGACTGCGTCCAGCGCTTCCGCGGCAGAGGCTGCGGAGCCCGCGACCGACGTGATGACGGCGCGCGGGATGGTGCCAGCGGCAGCCGCGCCCGAGCCTGCATGCGCTGCTGCGCCTGAGCCGCCGCCCGAGCCGCCGACGGTCCTGGAATGGTTGCAGAGCTTCCGCGCCCTGAACTGCATACCAGGGTTCGCGACGCCCGCGCCCTGCTTGGATCGGTGCTCGAAGCGCGACTCGGGCGCCGCCACGGACGCCGCTGCAGCCGAGCGGGATCTTCCAGCAGAGACTGCCCCGCCGCCGGCCGCGCCAGCGGCTGCTCCCTGCGAAGGAACGGGCGAGCCGGTCCTCGTCCTGCCTCCGAGGGAGGAGCAGCTGCTGAGCACTCGGTCCGAGTCGGAGAGGGAGTCGCCGCCCGGCGCGCGGCGAAGCGAGGTGTCGCCCTCGTGCCGCGCGTCGCAGCACAAGGGGTCGGACCGGCAGTCGAGGCGCGTGGCCGGAGACAAGAGCACAGCGCACAGCAGCAGCAGCGGCGGAGGGAAGAAGGGGCGGCGGCGGTTGAGCGGCGTCCAGGCCACGCGCGATCCGACGGAGCCGCCGAAGCGAAGCGACCTCCTCGCCGAAGAGAAGGCACTATGTACAACCGATACACCCGCTCCTCCCTCCCCCCGTGCCGAGGAGCATGCTCCGGCCTCGTGACTGCCTCTCGGCGGACTACTCTCGGCTGAACTAGCGCCCGCTCTCCCACCCCTTGTGCACACGCCGCAGCACTCCGGCGCGCTCCGACGCCTCCCTTCCCGACCCCCCCCCCCCCTTCCGGCGCAGGTCAAGGGCTTCGTCCCGCGCGAAGAGTGGCTCCCCTTCTCCGAGCCGGAGCTGCAGGTCCTCGCCACTGTCCGCCGCTGGCTCGGCGCCGCCCGCTTCGACGCGGTGCCGCTCTCGACTCGCCTGGCTCTGAGTGCAGAGGTCCTCTTCACACCCCTCTCTCTGTGAGCAGGTCCCGCTCGACTTGCTCGTCTGCTTCGTGCGCGGGTACGCGTACCGCAAGGACTGGGCGGAGACGGTCTACGTCGAGCTCTCCGAGGCGCGAGACACATCTCTCCCCCACCTCTCCCCCACCTCTCCCCCACCTCTCCCTCATCTCCCCCCCATCTCCCCCTCCTGCACCCTCCCCCTCCCCCTCCCCCCCCTGCAGGCCCTCGAGTGGCGCGAGAGGGCGAGCGCAGACTCGGTGCTCGAGATTACACGAGATTACACGAGATTACCCGAGATTGTGATGAGATGCGCAGGCTCGGTGCTACCCTCGCCTCCCGCAGACCACGGCAGGCACCCTCCCTCCACCCTCCCTCCCTCCCTCCCTCCCTCCCTCCCTCCCTCCCTCCACCCTCCTTAGGACCCTCCCTAGGACCCTCCCTAGGACCCTCCGATGACCCTCCGATGACCCTTCCCCCCCCCCCCCTCTCCCTCCCAGGTGCTCGACTCCCCTCCCGCGGACCGCCCGCTCTTCGAGCAGCTCTACCAGAGCGGGCCGGTCGGGCGAGACAAGCAGGGGCACATCGTCGAGCTGATGCGGCTCGGCCGGCTCAAGGTGAGACGGGCCGCACCTCGGCTGCACCTCGGCTGCACCTCGGCTGCACCTCGGCTGCACCTCGGCTATGGCTCGGCCGGCTCAACGCACCCCCTCCCTCCCACCGCTTCTCCCACCGCTCCAAGCGCCCGCCCTCTCCCCCCCCCTCCCTCCCCCTCCTCGAGGTATCCAAGCTCTTCAAGAGCTAGAGGTGTGAAGAGACGCTGTTCACACCCCCTCCCTCCCCCTCCTACAGGTATCCAAGCTCTTCAAGAGCTTCGAGCTCGACGCGATCATCACGCAGGCGCCTGGGAGGAGGAGAGGCGTGATCAGAGGAGAGGCAGTGAGAGGAGGAGAGGCAGTGACCAGAGGAGAGACAGCACACCCGCTGCGCCGGAGGGAACGAAAGGAGATTCGCTCGCCGCCGGGCCGCCACCGCTGCGCTACACTCGCCCGCCCTCTGTGCGCCACCCGCCCGCCTCCCCGCCTCCTCGCCTCTCTCAGGTCACCTACGCCGCCGAGGCGAAGCGCGCGTGCAACATCGCAAACTGCGGCGCGCTGGGCAAGCGGACGTACAAGACGGTGGTCGTGATCGACTGCGCAGGCAGTAGCTGGCCGAGGACGTGTCCAGGACGTGTCCAGGCCACGTGCGTGACGCGTCTCAGACATGTGCCCGCGTAGGCCTCAACTCGGACCACCTGACGAAGGAATTCCGCGTGCTGCTCAAGAAGACGGCCGAGGTGCTGTCCGGACACTACCCGGAGACGATGCACAAGACGTACATCATCAACGGTCCGCTCATCGTGCGCGCCGCGTGGAACGTGTCGCGCCACATGATGCACCCCATCTCTGCCGCGAAGTTCTCCATCCTCGGCTCCGACTGGAAGAAGGTCTTCGACCGGGACGGCGTCGTGCTCGACGGCAACGCGCTCCCCGCATCCATCAGCTGGAGCGAGGCTGTCGGCGAGCTCGCCGACGGCGGCGCGGCGAGGCGCCGCGGCTGGGCCCCTCCCGCCGACCTCGCAAACCTCGCGGCCCTCGCGGCCGTCGCGGAGTAGGGCGTGCGCCCTCGCGTTCTTCGCCAGCGCCCCCGCCCGTGCCCTGGAACGACCTTAGCACTCCTATTGAGAGGCGATCTCGGCTTCTCCGCTGACGCATACTGTGCGCGGCCGTCGCGAGATGAACGAACATGGACGATTCGCTGCCATGCTCCGGGGGCATGCTCGGTGTGGGGTGGCGGGATGGGTCTCTCGAATGTACCGTAATACGTGGGGCACCTGTGGGGCAGGGCAGGGTCGGTATACCTGTACCTGTGCAGTGGGGGGAGTCGTGTACGAAAGGACAGCACCGCATTCCGGCTCGTCTGCACCTGCGACCTGGAGCGCGCTTTGCGTTGGAGTGCGGCGGCGCAACAGTTCTCAGTTGAGTCCCGACGTGCGACGAGAGCTTCAACTTGCTTTTAGAATGCCTGAGAGCTTCTTCCCAAGATTCTTCCCACCGTACCGCCACGCACAGTGTACCCCCAACCCGCGCCGCGCACGCTTTTTTCTTTTCAATTCTTCGCATTGCTCTCGCGCGGGTGGTGCTGCTCCGAGCAGCGATGATCCTAGCAGCGATCGCGCTGACGCCGGTCGCGTTCCAGCCGAGGCTCGCGTCGAGGAGTGCGCGGTCGCTGGCACCGTGCATCTCCTGCTGCGATTCGCCGCCAACCACGCCGCCGCGCGAGCGCTCGACCGAGGTGGACGCACGAGGCTTTGTCGTGCCACAGGCACGGGAGGCAGCGCGTGGCTCCTGGCCGCTTGGCCCGACTGCTGAGCGTGTCGCCTCGTGCAGGTGGGCGACGTAGTCAAGATGCCCTCCAAGTGGCCTGGCGAGTGGGAGGTCGCGCAGGTTGACTTCGTCCAGGCGGTTGGCTCGCGCTCCACCGTCGAGGCGCGCGGCCGCACTGCGCGAGTCCGCCCGTCGCCGCTGCTCCAGCCGTCTCCCTTCCCCGCCCTGCAGGTGGACCTGCTGCCGCTCAAGAGCATCGGCGACGGTCTCTACCGCCTGTCCGGCCGCAAGCCGGCGGCGGTGCGGGCAGACATCGCAAAGCTCGGCCGGCTCGACTCGGAGTACGTCCGAGAGGCGGGACGACTTCGGCGGCCCTCCCTCCGAGCTGCGGCCTGGCCCTCTCACCCCGTCTTTTCCGTCGCCAGGTGGACGGCTACCGAGTCGACGAGAGGCAGCTGCAGCCCATCGTGCCGCGCCCTGCCCCGAATGAGGAGAGCCGCGCCGCTCGGCCTCGAGCAGCTCCGCCTCGGGGCCGAGGCCGAGCCATACCCCCTCTAGGCGACCACGCAGCTCGGCCTCGAGGAGTACGCGAAGCTAAAGGCGACGCAGCCTCCTCCGCCCCTCACCCCTCCCGCCCCTCACCCCGCCCGCCCTCTCGCCCCGCCCGCCCCTCGCCGCAGGCGGAAATCCTCATAGAGGCGGCGCTCGTCGGCGCCGCGGGCGCCGCGGTGCACGCGCCACACCAGCTGCAGCCGCCTCTCCCTCGGACCCTCACCCCGCAGCCCCTTCCCTTGCACGCGCAAAGGTGTGCTACGCCGCCCTCGGCTCAGACGGCGCAGCTGCCTTTGGGCTCGGATCTCTTGCCGGCTGCACCTACCTCGCCCTCCTCTCCACCGAGATCGACATGGCCCGCCGCCTCCCCCGCCCCGCCCCCCCCGCCCCTCCTCCCCTCTCCGAGCCAGCACCCGCGCGTGGCCCTCCTGCCTCCCCCCGACTAGCCTCCCTCCCCCACAGGTCGGGCCGAGCGGCGAACCGCCTCCAAAGGCTCGACGCCGCCGCCGCAGTCTGCGCACACCCCCCTCCCTCCCTCACCAGCCCCCTCCCCCTCCGCCACAGGCGCTGCAGATCGCAGCAAGCGGGCGGCTCCTTCTCCCCGTCGCGCTGATGGTCGGCCTGACGGCGGCGCGCGGCGGCGGGAGCGCGACGGCTTTCTCTCTCCTCCCGAGACACCAGCCGACGGCGCACCGGAAGTTGAGTTGCCGTGCTCGTCTGTCAGGCCCTCTCGCTCCTCCCGCGCGAGACTTTCTTCGCCGCCGCAGCCGGCTTCCTCTCGTACAAGGCGCGAGATATGGCGAGATATGGGGAGATATGGGGAGATATGGGCCGGCTTCCTCTCGTACAAGGCGCGAGATATGGCGAGATATGGGGAGATATGGGGAGATATGGGCCGGCTTCCTCTCGTACAAGGCGCGAGATATGGCGAGATATGGGGAGATATGGGGAGATATGGGCCGGCTTCCTCTCGTACAAGGCGCGAGATATGGCGAGATATGGGGAGATATGGGGAGATATGGGCCGGCTTCCTCTCGTACAAGGCGCGAGATATGGCGAGATATGGCGAGATATGGCGAGATATGGGCCGGCTTCCTCTCGTACAAGGCGCGAGATATGGCGAGATATGGGGAGATATGGCGAGATATGGGCCGGCTTCTCTCGTACAAGGCGCAGCCCCTGCCCGCCCTCCCCGTCTCCCTCCCCTCGCACACTCCCTCCGCTGGGGCGCTCCCCCCTCGAGACACGACACCGCGTGCCTCTCGGCTACCTTCAGGCGCCGCTGCTCGCAAAGCAAGTCGCGCGCGGGCTGCAGGACCTCTCAGAGTACCGGCCCGCAGAGGACGACTCCGCCTCGCTCGCGGGAGGAGGAGCGCTCTCGCTCTCGCTCTCGCTCTCGCACTCGCACTCGCACTCGCACTCGCCACACGCGCCTCGCCACACACGCCTCCACTCGCCTCCCCTCCCGCGCCTCCCCTCCCGCGCCTCCAGGCTCGCTCGGCTTCGCGGTGCGGGCGCTGCAGAGGGCGGGCAAGGAGAAGGCGGAGGCGGCCGCCGCCGACGCGAGCAGCGGCGGGTCTGAGCCTCTCGCGCCGCAGCAGCTGGTGCCTGCCTTTGGGCGAGCGGCGCGGCCTTGCCCCTGGCCCGACTCTGCACTCCGAGCTTGTGCAGGTGCTCGCCGGCCCGTCCGGCGTCGGCAAGTCGACTCTCGTCGCCGCGCTGCTGCAGGCGCGCGAGGCGAGGCGGTGCCGCCCACCGCCCCTCCGCCGCGGCAGGCCGCGCTGCACCGGGCTGTAGGCGGAGCCTGATTTCTTTTGTTGCTGTAGGCGGAGCCTGGCCGCTTCGGTTTCTCCGTCTCGTCGACGACGCGCGACCCGCGCGAAGGCGCACTTCCCGCCGCCTCACCGACAGACCCACCCCCGCCGGCACCGAGAGGAGGAGGTCGCGCGAAGGGTCTTGTCCGGGGCTGTGAGGTCCGAGGCTGGGCCTCTTCAGGCGAGGTGGAGGGCGAGGACTACCGGTTCGTGTCGACGAGCGAGTTCGACGCGATGGTGGAGCGCGGCGAGTTCATCGAATGGGCGACCATCGGCGGCCACCGGTACGGCACGACGGTCGCGTCGGTGCAGGCGCTCGCAGCCGAGGGCAAGGTTTGCGTGCTCGACGTCGACGTGCAGGGCGTCGAGGCGCGCGCCGCTGGCCTCGGCCGTCGCACAGGCTCCGCCGCGCGAGGTCTCTCAAAGCAGTCCCGCTCCCGAAGGCGATCGCCGCTCGCTCCGACTTGCGGCCATATTGCGTGTGGGTCGCGCCGCCTTCGTTTGGCGCGCTGCGAGAGCGTCTGACGGAGCGCGGCACCGAGTCGGAGGAGGAGATTTCGCGGCGAGTGTTGCGCGCCAGGGAGGAGATCGAGTTCTCCCTCACGACGCGCTGCTTCGACAAGGTTGGCCCCACGCCAGCCTCTCCCGACACCTGTCGCACCCATGGAGCACCCGCACGGCCTCCCAGGTGATCGTCAACGACGATTTCGACGCCGCGAGCCGAGAGCTGCGCGAAGCCGTCCTTGAGGCTCTCGCACCGTCGGCTTGAGTCAAGTTTGCTGCGCGGCCTGCGCCCTCTGTGGCGCTCTCTGGCCCTGTCCAGTGTCACGTATATGTGAACGGATCAGAAACCCTGTCATGAGAACAGCGTGGTATTGTTTTAAACACAAAAGCCTCTCATAGATCATGGGTGACCCATAGCATACAGGATACACACAGCTTGGTCCGGCTGCCTCACAGCCACGGCGGAGGGGGCGAGGCGTTTGGCACCTCGCCCGGGCGCGGCCCGTATGCGATCTCCCAACAGTCCGCGTCCTTGCGCGACTTATTGCCGGTTGGGTGTCCCGCCTGCCGCTTGAGCTTGACGCGCTTCGCTTTCCTCGCGAGGCGGCGGCCCATCGGCATCGAGGGGCTCTCCTCGGCGCTGGTCAGGCTGCTTGTCCTAGTACTTGCCAGGCTCTGGTTCCACTGCCGCACGAGCTCGAGGAGGCGCTGGACGACTCGCGGCTGCTCCGCAGACAACTCGACCATCTCCTCAGCATCCTAAAGGGCCGCAAGGGAGCGAGAGGCGAGGCGTGTCACCGATGGCTCCACCGGCGGGGCTCGCGGTAGCCTTCGACTGCCACACGGCACTGCTACTGCTTTGCTACACGGCACTGCTGCTACCCGCCGCCATGGCAGTATGGTGTATGCTACTGCTGCTCGCCGTCTTCAGGTTGTACAGCTCGAGCATCGGCCCGCTCGAGTTCCCGTGCCGCTCGATGTACATCTGGAGCCGCTGCTGCCGCTGCCGCGCGCTGTTCCGCAGCTTGTGCGCCGATTCCGCCGCCGGCTCCGGCGTGCCGTGCGCCGGCGTGACGCGCGCGTCGGTGTGCTCCCACGAGCCGACGTGCTTCACCACGGGGATGACGTGCAGCTTCCACTTGCCCGACCGCACGCTGATCACGTTCTTGTCGCGCCGCTGGCGTGCACCGTAGCCCCCCTTCCAAAAGATCGGACGCTCCGCCGTGCGGTCGCGCGCCGCTCGCGCCGTGAAGACGGCGCTCATCGCCTCGCCGTCCTGCCTCGCGCCGGGCGGCGTCATGGCGCGCAGCAGCGGCGTGAGGCCGGCGAGGTCGGCGACCGTCGGCAGCAGGTCGAGCGCCGAGACGACGGAGTCGCTATCGACGTGCCCCGCCTGCACCACTTATTAATTATTATTATTAAATACTTATTAATTATTAATAGTCGCTGTCGACGTGCCCCGCCTGCACCACTTATTAATTATTATTATTAAATACTTATTAATTATTAATAGTCGCTGTCGACGTGCCCCGCCTGCACCACTTATTAATTATTATTATTAAATACTTATTAATTATTAATAGTCGCTGTCGACGTCCCCCGCCTGCACCACTTATTAATTATTATTATTCAATACTTATTAATTATTAATAGTCGCTGTCGACGTGCCCCGCCTGCACCACGCCAGGCCAGCGCACGAGGAGAGGGACGCGCACCCCGCCGTCGTACCTGTGGGGGGGGGGAGGGACACAGAGGCTTGCGAGCGGGTGGGGCGCGAGGGGGCGGTGAGGGGAGATGAGGGGCAGGGGGGGGTCGGCGGGCCGCGGCGCACTGAGTGAACTTGCCTCCGCGCAGCCCTCCCGCGTAGCCCATCAGGAACGGGCTCTCGCCCGCAAAGGTGAGCGGCGGCCTCGCGGCGGGAGGGAGAGCCTCCACCCGCCTCCGCGCGCCTCGAGGCAGCTGCGGCCCCTTTGAGACTACCGCGGGTCCGTGGTCGGACGAGAAGAGGACGAGTGTGCTCTCGCGGAGATGGAGGCGGTCGATGGTGGCGAGGAGGGAGCCTGTGCGGTGCGGAGGGGCGGTGGTGCGCCACGTCGGCGTGGGGACGGCGGGCGGCGGGGGGGGGGGGGGGGGCTAGGGATTGGGGGCCAGGCTCTTAAGAGTAGAGGTCTCGACGCGGTACCATGCTGCGCCGGCGCATCCCTCGATGTGGCGGCCGAGGCAGCGCGTCGCGACGGCGCGAGAGGCTGTGGTGCTCGTGTGAGAGGTGTGAGAGGGGCGTCTAGGCGGGCGGGCGGCACTTTTTCATCGTGACGTCGATCTGGATGCCGAGCGAAGCGGCGTGGCGGAGGCGAGAGGCCATGTGCTCCGAGAAGCGAGCCAGGTCAAAGGTCTGCGGGAGCCAGTCGGTGTCCAGGCCTCGCTCGGCCGTGAGGAGGTCGCAGTTGAACACCGGGTCGTGCCTGGCAAGGGGGGGAGGGGGGGGGGGTCGCACGTGTCGGCCCAAAGAGCCGCCCTCTCTCCCACCACTGCACGGGCATGCAGCCGCGCACGTCGAGTGACCCCACACGTTGGCGTACCACGGCCGCGCGGCGTGCCTCTCGACCCACCGCTCCGCCGCGTAGTAGACCGCCTCGTCCCTCCCCCGCCCCGTGTACCGCCTCGCCTTGCCTCTCCGCTCCTCCTCGGGCAGGGCGCACGGAAGCTCTTTGCCGGACGAGACGACAGTGTGGATGCCCAGGTGCGTCGAGCCGTCGTCTGCCCGCCGGGCCGCATAGTAGGGTCGCTCCGGCCCGAGGTGCCACTTGCCGAAGTGAGCGACCGCGTACCCGGCCGCGCCGAACACCTCGGTTAGCGCCGGCGTCCCGACCGCCGCGAGCCCGAGGCCGAGCCGAAACTCAAACGTGGCGGGGTGGCGGCCGCTCATGAGAGCGGCGCGGCTGGGCGCGCAAGTGCAGCCCACCACATAGTACTGGCGCAGGCTGGTGCCCTCCTTAAACAGCCGGTCAAGGTTTGGCGTCCTCGCGTAAGGGTGGCCTCCAAAGGCAGCCAGGTCGCCGTATCCCACGTCGTCGCCGAGCATGAGAAGCACGTTTGGTGTGGCGTTGCCGGGCCGAGGGTACGCCGGCCCGCGCGCATACGGGCTGCTGGGGTAGCCGGCGGGCGGGGGTGGCAACGCTGCGGAGCGCCGCCAAGCACTGTTTAGCAGCTTACAGGTGAGAGCCTTCGAGCTGTTCTTCTTCGACTCCGATCCGGCGGCGACAGACAGGGCGTGGAGGAGCGTGCACCAGCAGAAGAGGCGCATGATCGCGGGGAAGAAGCAAGTCGGTTGCTTCTCGATGAGCGGGCGCTGCGGAGGATCAGTCAGCCGCCATAAAAAGAGCAAGAAGAAATTGCCGTTATCGCGTCCCCACCTTCCTTCCTAGACTAAAAAACCTGCTCGTGCAGGTGGGGACCCTGTCCTTCTCCCACCCCTCGTTTGGCGTGCCCGTTTTATTTATTTATTCCTTCCTAGAAAGAGGGGCTCCCGGGAATCCGGGCAGTGTGACGCACATATCTTTACCTCCCATACGTGTGTGTAAATAAATAAAACCGACACCTCTACTGTGAAATGTGAGATGGTGGGTAAAAAAGAAAAAATCCCTCTTCTTATCTTTTACTTTTTGCCCCGCTCCAAGAATGGAGACAGAACCCACCCGTACACAGGAGAGATGGGACTGCGTCCCCCCCCGCTTGCCCTGCCTGCGCAGGATAGCGTGCCCCGATAACGGCGACACTTAGCGAGGGTCACTGCGCAAGGAGGGGTGCGAAGCCTTTTCTTTTGTCCTCTCGTGAGATTAATCATGCAATCCCCAGAGAGCGAGATAAAAGGGATAAAAATAAACGCAATCCGATACATTATCAGCCAATACGCCGACGACACCACCCTCCTACTCTCCCCCGGAGACCAGCCCGCAGTGAACAGAATCCTCAAACTATGGGAGCTAGCAACGGGCATGAAAGAAAACATAGACAAAAGAGAGGGCCAGCTGCTAGCAAAATTAAATAGGGAACGAAATAGAGCCCCGACGGACGTAGTTCGCGAATGGCTCGCGGATGGCAAGACGATCCGCGCACTAGGAGCCCCGATGGGAAACAGCTTTAACATCAAAGAATGGTGGGAGACACGTTACCGCACGGTTAAAACTAGAGTCGCCCTCTGGCCATCACTTCGAAGGCTATCCCTCACGGGGAGGAACACACTACTACAAAGCATATTCTATGGATCCTTCAGATATTGGCTGTATTTTCTGGAAATGCCCGAGAGTGTCACCAAATTAATCGAATCCGACGCCAAACAAATTCTCTGGTCGACAGAGCCGACTCTACGAACAAACGAAGAGGGCACCGAAAAGAAATCACGACGATACATACACGAGCGCGCCAGCTATCTCCCGATCAAGAAGGGCGGAGGAGGAATTATGCACTGGGCGAGCCACTGCGAAGCCTTCTACGCACAGTGGATGATACGCTACCTCCATCCCCGCAAGGCCCCATGGAAAGAAATAGCGGACCTCTGGCTATGCGAGGGCACACTGGGCAGAGGAGTCATTGTCTCGAATACCGATCTCACTGACACGCTCAACGCTATACCAAATACCGCCCCCTACCTCCAAAGATGCCTCAAATCCTTCATAGAGCTCGAGATCCGACAAAACATTAAGACGGCCGACCACCGACTCCAATCCGAACCGCTATGGCACAACTGGAGATTCGAAATTCAGCTACCTGAAGCGAGAGCCGAGATCTGGAGAGAGGACCTCGGAGTAATTCACTTTTACGACCTCCTAGACACACAAAGCGACCCTTCAAAAATAAATAGAAAACGTCAATACCTACACGTATTAATCGCGTGCGTGTGGTTGGTTGCCTCATACGTACCCACGTGTCACGTATACGGATTATGGATCTCCGCCGGTGCGCCGCGGCCCGCGGGGGGGCTGGGCGTCTTCGACGTATCACGTATCCGCATTACGCATACGTCAGCTTCACCGCAAAGCTTTGCCCGCGGGGGACGGATCGGTGCAATGGCCCGCGCGGCGGGTGCCTTACGTACCACGCGTCACGTTTACGGATTACGTATCTCGCCCCGCGCTCCCCCGAGCCCCCCCCCCCCCGCTTACGTATCACGCATACGCATTACGCATTACGTATTTTTCATCCTTCGTAGTCCAAGGCAATGTTACAAAGCATAAATGGTACAAAGACAATGGCAGTGAAGTGCCAAGAGAGACACCTTCTCCGCCGACAGTCATCTCAAACAGTTCCCTCGAGGTCTCACATGACCCACACACAGCAGATTGCAGAGCCGCGCGGGCCTCGGCCGGGCCAACTTCGGGCGTATTTTCCGTTTTTCCGGAAAATAACGGAGAGAGGGGGGGGGGGGGGGCTACGGGGGCGGCTGTCGAGGGCTATGCCCGAGTCTGTTGTTACCAGCGCACAAACAATCCTAGCCAACTTATGGCAGCCCTAGCGGCAGCGCGAACAAAGTTCGTGCTCGAGTATGCGTAATGCGTGAGGCGTAACCCCCGTTGGCCGCCACTTCTCACTCGAATCCGGAATGCGTTTGCGTAGTACGTGGTGCGTAGGCCCTCTCCGACACCTTGGGCGTGCGAATGCATCAAGCGTATGCGTAATGCGTGAGGCGTAACTCCCGTCGGCCGCCGATCGGCCGAGAAGGTGGATGCAGAAGACAGATTCGTAATGCGCAAGACATTTGTAGCTCCTTCAGGCGCCACTTGGCTCGGGCACGACACCGAAATACGCGACGTCTGGCCGACGCACTAATGGATCGCGGGCGCGTATTTACATAACATGGCCGATCTGTGCATTCTGGGCGACTACATATGCGTAGCAGTACTACTCACCTCCCTCCTTCTCGCGTGAGCACCACCCTGAAGCCCGCCCAGCACACGCACCCACGCAGCACCGGAGAGCAGCTGTTCAGAGCTGAACCGCTCCCTCTAAAGCCGTAAGAATAGCCTAAGTCGAAGGAGCATCATCAGTCTCGCCCACCTCGCTCGCTGCCCACTATCATCGCCGCCCCCTCCCGCTTGAGCCGCCGTCGCGGCCCTCGCAAAACCGGCACAACCGGGGTACATTATTATTTTCTTGTGGAAACCGAATAGTTATCCGATTGCGGCATGCAAACTCACCTGCCCGCCCCACGCGCCCGCTCCTGCAAAAGCTCCTCCAGGCACGCGTCCACGCCGGCCACGCCCCGCGTCTCGCACCGCGCCGCCTCCTGCTCGAGCTGCGCCCTCTCTGCCCTCGTCAGAGGGACCTCGGGCGCCACATCCGTCCGCTGCAGCAGGCCGGCGTCCGGGGAGGGGCTGAGGAGCCCGCTCCCGAGGGCGAAGAAGATGAGCGGACCCAGCAGGAACAGGGCGCCGGCAGCGAGCCCAGAGAGTTCCACTGCAGCCTCCGGCTCTGGGCCCTCGGTTGTGTAGCCCCACGCTTGGCGTGCTCGGGACACGCCAGCAGCGCGCAACTCAGCATCCCGCTGATCGCGAAGTTGCGTTTCCTCCTCCCGTGCGCTGTCCTCTAGGCGCTCTAGGCGTGCAGCAAACGCAGCCGCGAGGTCCGCTTCCGCTTCCGGTTTCTCTGCCAGCAACACTGTGCTGCGCCCGGCGCGGAGAGCCAGCGGTGGCGCGGCAATGCGGAGGGTATGGCAGGAGACAACGAGAGGCATCCAGACGATGCCGCGCATCTTTGCGAAAGTGAGGAGTCTTCGCCGCCGTACCACTCAGTGTGTGGTAGAGTTCGGAGTGGGCACACACAAGGCCGACGCAAAAAGAATTTAACTGGGCGCACGCACTGGCACTAACACTAAGAGGGGAGCTCGATAGACTCGAGGGGCCAGGATACGCCGCGAGGAGGACGGAGTTGCGCCGAAAAAAGGCGAAAGAAGCCGCGAGAACAAGGGACCGGCAGGCGGCGGCGCCGCAGGACGAGACAGAAGAGAACGACGCGACAGAGGAGGAAGTGACAAGGGAGAGAGCGACGAGAGTGGGACGGCCGCGAGGTGGCACGAAGGTTGAAGCGAGAATCGGAGAGAGACTGCGAAGGGAGATAGGAAGAGGCAGACTCCCTAGGGTAGGCGACGGCTAGCGCATCACACTCCTCTCCTTAAAATCCCTGTGTGTGGTGGCGGCGTGCCGTTCTCCCATCCCTCCCTTGGGTTGTCTGTTTTCTTTCTTTCTTTCTTTTTTTTAACACTAAACCACAGTGCGCGAAACGAATTTTACCATGAAACTCCCTCGCGGAAAAAAACTAACGTCCGCCGGCCAAACGGCCGCATCATCACCAGAGACACGAAAGGTCGCCGCCTTCTTACGGTCCGCTACTCCACCGCTTCTTTGCACGACCCTCCCCCGCACGACTCCGCTTCGGCTTCCTCGCGCCCCCCCCCTCGCCTGCGCCGCTCGCCTCCCGCCCCTTGCGCTTCTTGCTGCTCTTCCCAGCCCCGCCCGGCGCCTCGCACGCCAACGCCGCTGCCTTCTTCGCCGCCCTTCTCTCCGCCTTGCGCGCAAGCCGCCTCGCCTCCTTCCTCGCCTCCTTCTTCGCCCTCCGCTCCTCCTCGCCCTCGCCCTTCTTCTCGCCCTCCTGCACAGCGTCGCCGCCGTCGCTGGAGCGAGCCGCCGCCCTCCGCACGGCCTGAGCGCCGGGCACCTCCACCTGGCTGCGGAGGAGAGGCAGCAGCAGCGAGACGCGCCTGCAGCAGGAAGGGGGTTTGGGGCGGTGCTGTGGACAGCGGGGGTTGGGGCACGGCGGGGCACGGCGAGGCAAGGCTCGTAGGGCCGCGGGCAGGAAGGGTGTGGCGGCAGGAAGGGTGTGGCGGCAGGAAGGGTGTGGCGGCAGGAAGGGTGTGGCGGCAGGAAGGGTGTGGCGGCAGGAAGGGTGTGGCGGCAGGAAGGGTGTGGCGGCAGGAAGGGTGTGGCGGCAGGAAGGGTGTGGCGGCAGGAAGGGTGTGGCGGCAGGAAGGGTGTGGCGGCAGGAAGGGTGTGGCGGCAGGAAGGGTGTGGCGGCAGGAAGGGTGTGGCGGCAGGAAGGGTGTGGCGGTGGTTCGCACTCGTCGAGAGGAGCGCCCGCGGCGGCGGCGCCGAGGTGCTTTGAGAGGACGGAGAGGCGCTGCCGCGCCAGCCTGCCCGAGAAGGTGTGGTGCAGCGTCTCCCACGTCACCTCGCTCTCGTCCTGAGCGCCGGAGGCCTGCTCACGGCTCCAGCTGTGAAGAGGCGCCCCTCCCTACCTCGGGGGCCCGCCCCGCCTGCCGGCGCCTCGAGCGCCTCGAGGAGAGCGACGTCCTCCCCCGGCCCGACTCCCGGGCGCGACAGGAGCGCGGGAGCGAGCCGGCCAACCCACGCCGTCCGAAGGTTGTTTGCGGACCGGCCCGGGAACTGCTCCGCGATGGCGTCCCAAGGGAGCCGCTGGTGCGCCGCCGCCACGTCGCTCCGAGCTAGCCCCGCCCCCACCCCCGCCCCAGCCACGTCGCGCATCGCGGCGACCGCGGCCTCGACAAGTCGCGTCAGGCGCCGCTCCTGTTCACAGCTGCAGCCGTGAAGAGGCGCTGTCCACGCCTCGACGAGTCGCGGCGAGGCGGCGCTCCTCGTCGAGTGAGAAGCGGCCAAGGGAGGCCGAGGTCGAGTAGTGCCTGTACTGCTTGTGGCATGCGGCGGGGGAGCGGCCGAGCTCCTCGCCTGCAAGACACAGCGTTGACGTGTCACGGACACGTCCTGGACGGAGAGAGGCGGCCGAGCCGAGCTTTGCCGACGTCGACCCACGGCACGTCGGCGTCGCCGAGCTGGCGGAGCAGCGCGATGTCCTCGGCCGTCCACTTGCGCGCCGACGTCCTCTTGTGGTGCACCGCCAGCACGCGGTTGCGGATCGCAGACAGCTTGCGCGACGGCTCGCCCCTCGCCTCGCTCTCGCGGTCGTACAGCTCCTTGGTCGAGCTCCAGACGCGGTGGCGTGCGCGGCTCTCCTCGCGCCGCTCCCTGCTGTCGGCGGCCTCCGCCCCCGCCGCCGCCGACGACGAGCCGGTGCGGAAGAAGCGGGCGAGGCGGTCGGCCTCGTCTGCGCCGGGATAGTAGTCGGAGAGCTGTGTCGAAAAGACCCGCCAAACCAGCGCCGCCTCGCTGTCCGACCACTTGCCCTCTCTACAGTCAACGTCGCCCGTGTTGGTCTGGCCGTCATGCCTGCCCGCACGTGGGCCGTAACCCTTCTCGCGCGCAGCACCCTTGAGAGTGCGGAGCGGGACAGGGATTGCGGCGGAGGCAGTGGGCGCGGCGGCGCTGGTGCCGCCGCCCTCCAGTCGGCGAAGCTCAGCCTCCTCGATGACGTCCACGTCTGCTGCGATCCTCTGACCCGCCCTTGGCATGGCGGAGAGGCGCGGTGGGCACAACACGCGCGCACCTGCGATGGGGTTGGGCTCCTTTGGCGGATAGGTGGTCTTTCGAAACGAGAATGGCGAAAACAAGGGCTTTTGCGCGGTGCACAGAGCATTTAGAGCGCCGAAAAAAGAGCGGGAACCATTGGCGCCTAGTCGTGCTCACACCCGTCGTGCATGCCGGCCACTGCCGCCTCCACCTTTCGCGTCGACATCGCCCTGTAGCGCGACACGGCGAGTCCGACCGGGCCGCTCAGCCGCACGATCTCTCCGATCCTCGTGAGGGTGCCGTTGCGGGCGTCCGTGTGCCAGTCGCCCTGCATCGAGTTCTCGATCGCGTAGAGCGTCTGTGGGCCCTCGCCGTCGACCAGCGCGTTGACCACGCTCCTGCTGCTACCGTGCGCCTTGAGCAGCGCGAGCAGCTCCTCCACCGCTGCCCGCCGCTCCTCGCTGCCGGCGCGCGATGCGCGTAGCACCTCGAGCAGCGTCGCCACGCGCGCCGCCGGGTCTGCTGCCGCGCCCGCCTCGGCAGCCTCTGTCTCTGAGGCGGCGGCATCCGCAACCGTGCCATTGGCGGCTGGCGGCGCGCTCTGCGCCAGAACGGTGCACCCACGCTTCACCTCCTGCAGCGAGACGCCAGCCCACTCGCTCTGCTGCAGTAGCCGCGAGTGGAGCTCCTTGGCTGAATGCCAGCCCGGGCCGGGAGCGACGCACAGCGCTTGCAGCGCGGCCACCAGGCTGGCCTCGCGATCGGCTAGCGCAAGGTTCTCCGGTCGTACAGAGAGGCCCTTGCCTTCGACAGTCACCGCGACACGGCCGCGGGATGCGTCGAACATCTTTACGACACCGTGCTTGCCGTTGAGCTCAGCCCGGCCGACCAGCGAGTGCAGCACCACTGCTGCGCCTTTCGCAGGCGGCGACTCCATACCTTGGAGCTGCCGACGACGACGCACGGGCGTTCACAGCCTTGTTATTGAGAAGAAAATACCTCCCATGGCGCTGTGCGCTGGCCTGTGAGAGGTTGAGGTGCGAGCCCTGGAGGCCCTGGGGATGGGGGGGGACTACCCGCGGGCTTAGAAGCCCCGCGCGCAGGGGGGTGGGGCATTGAGACCGGTCATGAATGAGTGCGCGACACGCATGTTGCGAGCAGCGTTGTTGATGTTTTGCGCATCGCCACTGACGGCGGCGCGCGAGAGCTGTTGCGAGTGGTGTTGGGCGAAGCCCCGGGCGCTGCCGGAGGCTGTGCCGTAGTCGGTGCGGTCGACGGCGCTCGGGCTGCCGACCTCTTTGGCGAAGTTGAAGATGATTCTCTTGGTTGGCGGCGCGATGCCGCCCTGGCTTTCGACGAGACAAATTTTGACGATTCCGTTCTTGACATGGAGCGCGTCGTAGTACTGTCCCTTGTGCTCTTTGACCCAGCCTTTGCCGGTCGCATGGACGAGCGGGCCCTGTGACTTGTGGCCGCGCTCTTTGCACCCAAGAACCTTGAGCAAGGTTTGGTCGAGGGTGTTGCCGAAGCCAAACTTGTGGCCCAGTGACGCACAGCATCCGCCGTGTGCCGCCGAGCCCTGCCCAGCCTGCCTCGTCTTTGTGAGGGCGCTAGGCTTCACAGGCGGAAAAGAAATATGACGCAAGCGTCGGGCCTTACAAAATCTTTCTTCTCTCTTCAGCTCAGAGAGAGAGAGAGAGATGTCAGCTCAGTGTCCCCAGAAACCCCGAGGAGTCACACAGTCCACTCTATATATTTTAGACGAGTGCAGCTACACCACCGAGTACCCGGGCTTCCCAAGCGGGAGACGTGTCGGGGCCCGTGAACATCTTTAGCTTGTGAGCCAGCAAAAGGGTTGCTATTGAGTTACACATGCTGATGTATAACTGCGCAACACATTTGTCAACCTATTTCGTAAAGGGCCGCGGTGAGAAGGGGCTTGGGGCGTTCCGCGGGGGGGGGGGGGGGCGGAGACGAGGGTGGCGGGGCCGAGGGTGGCGGAGGCGTGGTCACGCACTTGCGACTGCTCCCGCAACGGTAGAGCAATCGTAGGGCTCCGGCAACGACGGTGGCGCGCGCACGGAACGTCGGGGACCGATCCGTGGAGAAGCCGGCCGCGTCGTCGTCACAGGCGGAAAAGAAATTATTTGGCGCGCGCGGGCGGCGCCTGGGGCGGTCGGCTCGGCCACTGCGGGGCGACGCATGATAGAGCATGCTGGGCGCCGCATCATCTACTACCGCCGTCCACGCCAAGGCGCGGGGCGGCAGTGCTCGTCGGCGCTCGCGGCGCTTCGGTGCTCGGGCGCGCTCACCATGTGGTCGTTCAGGGCGGCTTGCACAGCGCCTGCGCACACACATACACACGCACACGCACACACGCACACACGCACACACACACACACACACACACATGCACACACACACATACACAGACACACAGCCCCTTCCCCTTCCCTCTCAAGACCGCAAGGGCGAGGACACGCGTAGGCCGCACCACTAGCGAAGCCCACAGAGTGGGAGACTCCTATCACCGCCTCTGCCACCCACGGCGTGAGCCTTGGCCGCCTCTGTCAGTGTGCCCGTGATAGTGAGAGACTGCCAGTGAGAAGCCGGAGGAAGGTCGCTAGTCGAGAGAGATCGCCAGTGGAATAGGGAGTCCACCGTGCTGCGAACCTGTCGCTGTCCCTTTTGTCAGTAGCAGGAGAACTAGGAGAGCGCAACCAGTAGGAGGCCCGCGCCTGCCCCCGTGCCGCCGGGTGCAACTTTGTCCTATACGAGAGGGGAATCCCTGGGACCTGTCGTGTGGGTGAACCCTCCCCAGCCCCCCTCCGTGTCGCGATGCGCTCCCCACTCCCGTTCCCCTGTGTCCCTGATCGTCCTTACAAGATCCTGCTCGCGCAGGTGGGGACCCTGTCCTTCTCCCACCCCTTGTTTGGTGTGTCCGTTTTATTTAGTTTTTATTTATGGGTCGAGATCCCGCCCGGCAGCCCTAGCCAGGCCCCGCGCACTGGCCGCGAACGCGACCGCGGCCCTCACTCGAGCCCGAACTGCCTGGAACCGTCCGACTGTAGCGACCTACGTGCTACGTCGACCAGAAGTCTATTATTCTCTCTTCAGCTCAGAGAGAGAGAGAGAGAGATGTCAGCTCAGTGTCCCCAGAAACCCCGAGGAGTCACACAGTCCACCTGTGTGATGCACGCCCTGCGAGCGGGGCGGGGTGCGCACTGTGCCTCTGTGTTCGTGCGTCGCCCACATCTCTCCAGGAGATGCCTGCTCTATTTATTTTAGACGAGTGCAGCTACACCACAGAGTACCCGGGCTTCCCAAGCGGGAGACGTGTCGGGGCCCGCGAACATCTTTAGCTTGTGAGCCAGCAAAAGGGTTGCATATTGAGCTACACATGCTGATGTATAACTGCGCAACACATTTGTCAACCTATTTCGTAAAGGGCCGCGGTGAGAAGGGGCTTGGGCATTCCGCGGGGGGGGGGAGGGTGGGGGGGGGGGTGGCGGGGCCCAAGGTGGCGGAAGCGTGAGCACGCACTTGCGACTGCTCCCGCAACGGTAGAGCAATCGTAGGGCTCCGGCAACGACGGTGGCGCGCACGGAACGTCGGGGTCGGACCGATGCGTGTGGAGAAGCCGGCCGCGGCGCGGTGACCAAAAGGGGTATGATGAAACGCACCATGATGGGGGCCTGCGAGCGCAGGGGGCAGAAGGGGGGGAGACACTTAGCGAGGGGGGGAAGGCGCCACCTTTTCGCCATCCCTTGGCGGCGCGTTCGGCACTCAACGTTGTCTAGCAGCGCACCGCGCAGCGGCACGCGGCGGGCGAGGCGGGCGTCGCTTAAGGCGTGCACTCGCGGTGGGCAGAGGCGCGTGGGTCAGGGCGAGAGGTGCCTTGAGGGCTAGCCGTCGGAGCTCGTTTGGGGGGGGGGGGACACCAAAGACAGCGAAGTGATTGTCCAAAAGAGAAAAAAACCGCGGACCGTTCTGCGCGTCAACGGCTGGTGACGATTGTGTTGCCCTTGAGCTAGTCCTTCGACCTTCCCCGATCGCCTAGCTAGCTTCTGCGCTGTCATGCGAACGTCTGTATGCCATGCGCACGAACCACACGCTTGCGTGGATACGTGGCTGGCGGGCTGACCCGTGTGCGGGGCAACCCATGCACGGGGAAGCTTCACGGGGTCGAGGGTCTTCAAACGTTAAGCAGCGGAGGTTGCCGAGGGAGGCGGCGTAAGCCGTCATCGCCCGCGGCGCTGCTTGCACTATATGGCGATGCTAGTGGCGATGCCGATGGCGCTAATAAGAGGTTCCTCAAGGGGGGCGATAGGCAAAGGCCAAAGCCGGAACCGCTTCACTGAAAAAACGGACGTCCGTCCGCGTCCGTCGGAAGGAACGAGGCTCGAGGAAGGAGGCCGATGAGCGAACAATATGCCAGTGGATGGCGGAACCCGGTTTCGCCGGTACCCCGCCGGCGCTACCTGGGAGAGGAGCCATCAAGGTTCAAGCCGGCGCGGAGGGAGGCGCGGTTAGCGGTGTACGATGAGACAAGAGACGTGAGCGGCACACAGGACGACAAAAAGAAAACGACCATTTCGCCGGAAAACGAATGCTTGATTACGTGTTGGTTTTCATATTTCAAATTTACGCGCGCCACGAACACGACAAACCAAGGGTGGGGTCTGGGGTAAAAAACCGAAGAAAACACGGCCGGGAGAAACGGCCAACACAACCAACTCACGGATCACCCACCCGCCACCCGCACCCCTCGCAATTAGACAGTTTAATATCATATTTATATGCGCCACTCTATCCCGGTTCGCCTTACGCCTATTCCGCTCGGCTATGTCTTTGACTCACGCCGCAGCCTTCTCGCCCGTCAGGCGGCCGACCACGGACTGGTAGAGGGCGCTCGCCTTCTGCAGCGTGCCAAAGACGCCTCCGCCGGTCGCGGCCTCGAGGCAGTGGAAGATGGAGACGGCCGGGTCGAGCCGGTACTGCCACCCCTCGAGCACGAGCATCGACATCAGCGCGACCATCACCGTCGGGTCGAGCACGACGCGGTGCGAGCGGACCGAGTCCATGTAGGCGCGGATGTTGTCGCCCGGCCGCCCCTCCCCGCGGTCCATCTCCTCCTTCTGCGCCGTGCACTTTGCCGCAACCTCAGAGATGAAGGCCTCGCGGCCGCCCTCGCGCGCCTTTACGCGACAACAGTGATTATGATGAGCATCGTGCTCCGTAACATGATGATGATAATTGCAATGCGCGCCTCGACGTACGGCTGCGTCGGCGCGAGGCCGAGGATGGCTTTGCCGATGGCGGGCCCGTCGGTGCGCGTGACGGCGTCGAAGAAGGACTGCGCCGTGCCGAAGATGCGATCGTCGAACGAAGCGGCGAGGCCGGCGTCGAGGAAGACGATGTGCGGCGCGGTCGGCGTGAAGTCTCCGAGGAGGAGGTAGCGCTGCACGCGAGCGAGCAGGCCGAGCTGCGCCTTTGGGCGCAAGCCGGCGCACGTCTAGGCTGCGTCTCGGCTGTGTCTCGGCTGCGTCTCGGCTGTGTCTCGGCTGCGTCAGCCTACGTCTCGGCTGTGTCTAGCCTACGTCTAGGCTGCGTCTCGGCTGTGTCTCGGCTGCGTCTAGCCTACGTCTCGGCTGTGTCTAGCCTACGTCTCGGCTGTGTCTAGCCTACGTCTCGGCTGTGTCTCGGCTGTGTCTAGGCTGTGTCTTGGCTGCGTCTCGGCTGTGTCTAGCCTACGTCTCGGCTGCGTCTCGGCTGTGTCTCTGCTGTCTCTCGCCTCGCGGATGAGAACGTTCCCCGGATGGAGGTCTGCGTGGATGTAGTTGTCCCAGATGAGCATCTTGAAGTAGGCCTGCGTGCCGCACAGCCGAGGTACGGCCGAGGTACGGCAACGGTACGGCAACGGCCGAGGTGCGGCCGAGGTGCAGCCGAGGAGCAGCCTCTTGCAGCAAGCCTGCACGCCGCACAGCGCGACGCTCGAGCGCATGTCTCCCGCGTTTGCCGTGCCCGCGTAGCGGATCCCATCCTCCGACCCCGTCTCGCCAACCTCGATCATGTACCACGCGCCCTTGGCATCCTGCCGCCACTCGCCCACCTGCCGCTCCCCCGCGCGCGTGAGGTACGTCGCGACCGACTCGCCCTCCTGCGGGTGCGGCGGGCGGGTGACGCCATGAGGCGAGGGCGAGCCACTCCGCCGAGACACTCGTCCTCCTCGAACATCTCGGCTGCATCTCGGCCGCATCTCGGCTGCATCTCGGCTGCATCTCCGCCCGCCTCGAAGGTCTCGACGAGCACCTCGCGCGAGACGAGCCCGGCGATCGGGCGCGGGAAGGAGACGAGCGCGCGCCAAAAGGCAGACGAAAAGTTGGCCGCGAAGCGCTCCAAGTTCTCGGCCTGTTCCCACACCGCTCGCGCGTGAGGCCGCCCCTGGCTGGGCTGTAGCAACTGTGGTCGGGCCTCGGCTCGCCTCGAGCTCGAAGTCGAGCTATATCTCGGCTGTATCTCGGCTATATCTCGGCTGTATCTCGGCTGTATCTCGGCTGTATCTCGGCTATATCTCGGCTCGCCTCGAGCTCGAAATCGAGCTGCGCGCGAAAGTTGATTGCGAACTGGTCTGCCGTCTCTCCGATGCGCAGGTCTGGCGCGTACCTCGCCGCAAGCTCGCCTGCAGCGCCTTCCGGGAAGGGTCGAGGGAGGGCCTCTCTGGCGAGGGGGGCGTGGCCGCGAGTCGCCGAGTGCGCGCAGCAGCGACATGTCGAGCGAGAGGCGCTCCGCCAGGTTCGGGTGCTGCACCTGGCGACGGACACCCACCCGAGGTTCGCCGAGGTTCGCCGAGGTTCGCCGAGGTTCCCCGAGGTTCGCCGAGGTTCGCCGAGGTTCGGGCGCTGCACCTTGACTGCCACCACGTCGCCGCCTCCGCGCAGCTTGGCGAGGTGGACCTGCCTTGCGGGTGGGACGCGTCGGGGAGACACCTCCTCGACATGTCTTCGGGCGTCTCTTGCGAGGCGGGCGGGCGTGTCTCTGGTCGTGTCCTCGACGTGTCTCTGCATGCTCTCTGGACGCGTCTCTGAACGTGCCGTGCCGTGCCTGGCCGATGGAGCCCGACGCGACGGGCTTCTCGTCAAAGGAGTCGAATAGCGACCCGAGCGGCTGCCCGAAGGCGGCCTCGATGGCGGCGCGCGAGTGCGCGTAGCCGTGGGCGGGCGCTGCGTTGGTGAGCGTGCCGAGCGCCTCGCAAAAGTCCTCCTCAAACAGGTCGTACCGGGTGGAGGCCCACTGGCCCCACTTGATGCCGACCGGGCCGCAGCGGGCGAGCGCCGACACGAGCAGCGAGAGCTGCCGCTCGCGCGAGAAGGCGCCTCCCAGGAGAGGCAGCTGCTGCAGCAGGCACCACGCCGCGACGGGGCAGAGAAAGGCAAAGAGCTCGAGGCAGCGCAGCAGGATTTTGGTGAGCCGCCACAGCCCGCCGCTCGCGGCGCCGCTGCTCTCCTTTCGCGCCAGAGCGGTGGACGAGCGAGAGGGCACGCTCGCAGCTGAGCAGTCCGCAGCACCGCGCCGCTGTCCTGCAGCATGAGTGATGAGGGCGACGGCGCCAACCCCAGCCGTGAGCGCGATCGGCAGGCGGCCCGCCGGCAGGCGGCGGCTGAGCGAGGTAGCGAGCCGGAGGTGGCGGACCGGCAGCATTAACACGTATTGGACGAGGAAGGTCTCGCCGACGACCTCGCCCCTCGCCGACGCCGCCGACTATTTCTTTTCCTTCTGTTGAGCACTTACGGAGTGACAGGGGTTCGTTACCCAATTTAAGAAAGGGTTCAAAGAAAACATACTCACAGGAAAACACCCTCATATAAAAACAAACGGAGCCAGCGCGCTTGTGGCTTCCACTCACAAGCACGCTTTTCCACGTCTCTCGTTTTTGTGTCACGTCTCCGTCCCCGCTCTACCTAGGCTCGCCGCTCGAACCAATGGCGGTGGGGACGGAGGTGTCGCCTCCGTCCCCGCCGTGGAGGCGGACTCGAGTTCGAGTGGGGACGGCGGCTCATATTGCTAAATATAAAAATACCGAAGGGTGCTGTGTGGGTGTGATTCTCACAGACCAGCGCATAGCGCCTCCGCCGTATTTTCTTCTCATGACAAGGCTGTGCAAGAAGAACGAGCAGCCAGCCGAGCCTCTCCGGCCCGAGAAGCGGCAAGCTTGCTCGCACAACGAGTGCTGGAGATGAGTGCTCACGCCGGCCGCGTTCGTGCGGCGGCCATGCTGCGGCTGCGTACGCGGCGCAGCGACTGGGCGTGCCAGCGGAGGAGTTCATCGACGATGGCTGCGGGCGAGGCGTATGCGCTGCTCGGCGTGCGCCCGGGCGCCTCTGCCGCCGACATCAAGGCGGCCTACCGTCGGCTGGCCTTGCGGCACCACCCGGACGTGGCCGGACCCGGCGACGCCGATCTCTTCAAGCGCATCACCAGCGCGTACTCGCAGGCGCTGCTCGAAGCGGCGCAGGGCGCGGGTGGAGCGGGCGCGGCTGCATCGGCAGGCGCCGCAGGCGATAGCCGGCGAGCGAGGGCGGGCGAGTCTGCGCGTCGTACCGCCCGCCCGCGCGGACCGTCCGACAACTTTGACCACGCGGAGTGGGACGCCGCGCACTACGGGGCGGAGCGGGAGGCGCGGCAGTCTGCGTACGCGCGGGAGCTGCACAGGCACGCTCGCGGCGCGGGAGGCTTCACCGCGAGCGGAGGGCGTCGCGAGCGTGCAGGCGCGCAGGGCGGCGGCGCTGGCGTCGGGTCAGAGGGCCGCTCGATGGGCTCTGTGCTCCTCTACGCAGGCGCGCTGTACGTGGTCTACCACCTCGTCTACTCGACTCACTTTGGCTGGCTCAGGGAGGAGGCGCACCTGCTCGAGGCGAAGCACATGGCGGACGCGGAGCGGCGGCGCAGAGCCTCGAGCGGGAACGGGTGACCGAAGGCGTCGAGACTCGAACGTGTAACGTAACTCCGTCACTCTGTCTCTCTCTCTGGAGCGCGCCGCGCGGCGGCGGCGCCGGCGCCCGCCGGGGTCGCTCGCGGTGGCGCACCCCGGTCGTGGCGACTGGCGTCCCAGAGGTGTGTGTGTGCCAGTTAAAGGAAAAGCTCCGTACGGTTATCGTATTCGTCCAAAAGCGGAACGGGGGACCAATCTCGTATGCGCAATAAGAGAAGAGAGTGTCAGTGTAGGACCGCCTCTAGGTGGCGGGGCAAACGGACAGGCGTCGCACGCAGTGTGACGCGCACCAGGGCGGGCCTCTCCCTAGGAGCGGGCAGTCGTTGGTGGCGGCAGCCGTTGCGGACTAATATATGCGGGGGAGTGTCTGCCGCCGGTTGGGCGGTGGCTGGCGTGTGGGAGCAGAGAGAGAGAGAGTGCGGCTTCTCCAAGCTTAAAGAAGCTTCGCGAGGAGGAGGTTCCCCTTCCGTGAGGGCCGGGTCGAGGAGGGCCCGGTCGAGCAGGCACTCCGGTGGGCAAGCCTCTGGTGGGCAGCCCTCTGGTGGGCAGCCCCTCACATGATCCGCTTGCCGAGGGCGGAGAGGGCGACCTCGACGCCGAGCTGGACGGTCGGCGAGCAGGGCTTCAGGTTGGGGTCGTCCCCGTGCATCGAGGAGCGCTGCGGCGCCTCGTCGAGCCCTACTCGCGGGCCAGCCTCGGCTCATCTCGGCTCGCCTCTCCGCAGCAGGGAAAGAGGCGGCGCCTGGGTTGATCTCGACCAAGTCCATGCCCACTAGCCGGCGCGTCTCGGCCATCTCCTCGGCGATATAGTGGATCTCGCGGTAGGAGAGGCCGCCTGGGCAGTGATCAATTATCAATGATTAACTGTTAGTGGATCTCGCGGTAGGAGAGGCCGACTGAGCAGCTCGCGACTCAGACTGAGTAGCTGCGACTACGACTGAGCAGCAAGCGACTACGACGATGGCAATGAAGTGGAGCTCGGCTGCCTCTCGGCTGCCTCTCGGCTGCCTCTCGGCTGCGTCTCGGCTGCACCTCGCGCGGCGGTGCCGGTGCCGGGCGCGAAGTGCGGGTCGACGGCGTCGATGTCGAGCGAGAGGTGGAGGGGGCGGAAGCCTGGCGGGTGGTGCGAGGAAGAGGTCTTGTTGCGAGGCGGGTGCGGGGGGCGAGAGGCAAGGGGGAGGGAGGCCGTTGGGATCGATCGCGCTCAGAGCCATCTCCATCACCTGCGAGGGGGAGAGGGAGGCGCGTGTGAGGCGTGTCCGTCGAGCCGTGGGGCGGGCGGCGCTAGAGAGGGAGCGGCGGCGGTGGGGGAGGGAGAGGGGTGTGGGGGAAGGGGGGGGGGGGAGGGTGTGTGTGTGCGTGGGGGGTCGCCTTAGCGATGCCGTGCTTGTCCACCTCGCGCATGGTGAAGACGTGCACGTTCGATGCGCGGAGCATCCGCCCCTCCTACGCTGCTGTGTGCCTTGCCTCACGAGCCCGCCCCCTCCCCGCGCCCCCCCCTCCTCTCGCGGCCTCTCCTCGGCGTCGATGTCGCGCAGACCGATGTACGCGAGCCTAGACTGGAAGAGCGACATCAGCGCACGAGGCAGCGGTCGCCTCTGCCGCACCCCTCTGCCCGCCGGTTCTCGCTAAGGCAGCCGGGCTCGAACCACTCGAAGCCTGCGAGCAACGCCCAAACAGTGTGGCACAGCCCCTCTCGCGCGGGCGGCAGCGAGCCGCTAGGCGCCGTCGATCCCGTTGTCGAACCAGCCGAGCAGGTGTGCGGCCGGCATGCCTGCTCGCGCACACGCGGCGCTCAGTGTGTGTGCGTAGGGGGGGGGGGGGGGTCGCAGGGCGGGCGGGGTGTGGGCGTGCCGTGGTAGTGCGCCGAGGGGGAGGTGCGTGGCGTGTTCGCGTCGGCGTGCGCGTCGATCCAGATGACGCCGAGGTCGGGGTACACCTGGAGGGCAGCAGGGCAGCAGGGCAGGGTCAGGGCGAGGGTCAGGGCGAGGGTCAGGGTGAGGGCGAGGGCGAGGGCGAGGGCGAGGGCGAGAGTCGCGCCTTGTGCAGCGCGCAGATCGAGCCCGCCGCGATGGAGTGGTCCCCGCCGCAAGTGAGTGCGAAGCGTCCTGCGTTTAATTAATTAATTAATTAAATTGAAAGTGGTCCCCGCCGCATGTGCATGTGAGTGCGAAGCGTCCTGCGGCGGCGGAGGCGAGGACGGACTCGTACACGAGACGCACCTGCAGGCTCCGCATAATGTAACATACTACACTACGAGACGCACCTGCAGGAAGCTTCTAATAAGATAATAATATCATCTGGATGACGCGCCTGCAGGAAGCTTCGCGGAGGCTTCATGGACACTTCCACGCAGGGGAGGAGGGACGCCCGTCAGGAGAGCGGCGCGCCCCGGCGCCGATGAGAGGCGCGTTGACAACCTCCTCCTTCGGCGGCGGCTCCGCCTCTTCCTCGAGCGCCTGTGGGGGAGTCGGTTCCAAGTAGTTTCACGTCGGTCCCGAGAAGCGGACTCCGCCTCTTGCTCGAGCGCCTCGAGCGGATTCTGGTGGGACACGGTGCGGCGCAGCGTGCCCGGGGCGATGCCCTTGCGCCTCCGCACCCACGTCGAGAAGTTGTCTTGCCTGTTCACGCCTCAATCTGTGAAGAGGCTGCCTTCACAGCTCGGCTGCAGCCGCGCCGAGGCGTGTCTCGCATGCCAGAGTCGCCAACCCACTCGCGGTACAGCTCGACGGGGTGGTGGTGCGGTGCGGACACCTCGAAACCGAGCCGCTCGAACTCGGCCGCGAAGTCGAGGTCGCCCGCGTCCTCCCACGACCAGCCGAGCATCTCTGCGAGCGGCTGCAGGCCCGCCTCGCGAAGCGCAGTCGGGCCGAGGTCGGCGCCGTCGAGGTTCTGCCCCTCGCAAAAGGGAGCGCCGATGAATCGGATGGTGCGCATGGAGCGGAGCGCAGACAGCGACCCCTTGAAGGCCGTGCTCGGCCTCCGTCCGACTGGCGAGAGGTCGCGGCCGAGCGCACGAGCTGCGCCCTTGGTGAGCATCGTCGCGGCGGCCATGAGCGAGGTCTGCAGCACTGTGTCGTCGGGCGTGTTCCGAGCCAGAGCCTTGATGCGGCGCGTGAGCTCCTCCAGCTCCGCGACGTCTCGCTGTCCATTGTCCGACATGTTCTGAAGTGTTAGCTCGGACACCCCGGCCGGAGAGAAACCTGCAAACGCGCGCGAATTCTCGGCCATTTCAGGTTGGCCCCCAGTCATTTGTGGTCGATCACGGTGGTCAGCTTGTTAACCATCGTTGTGCTGCCGGTGATTTGTACCGGGGCAACGGATGCTGCAAGTCACCTTTGCTGCCGCGTCGCCTCATAGTCGACCCCCCCCCCCCACACACACACACACACGGTTACTGGACCGTCACGTGTTCAACGACGTTGAACAGTGTTCAACCACGGCGCTGTTCACAGCGCGCGCGGACGGCCGTTCTGCGAGTCCCGCTCGGCAGGACTTTTGTAAAGCATGCTTGTGGCAAGTTACAGACGCTAGTATCGACCTCAGAGACCCAAACCCGAATTAATAATTAAGGCTCAAAGTATGGTTGAACAACCGTTGAACAAACAGGTTGAACAACGATATCCGACTAGTGCGACCGCTAGACGGCGGTCTCCGCCGGCCCCAAGGCTGCCCAGCCCCAGCACAACACCGGCCACGTGCACCGTCGACGGCCCGTCCCAGTCTTGTGCGCCGACAGGTATCGGCACCCCGTTCTCATCTACCTTGGTGGCGTAGTGGGAGTGAACAACGCCAGCCCCATCGATAGTGGACCAGCGTTCCTCGACTCGGTACTTTGCGACGTGCTCTCGCGTCGCAAACTCCTCGAGGCTCTTGTTGAGGAGAAACCCGAACTTTGTCGTCTCATACCAGTCGGGACGCCCAGACACCTCGTCGAAGAAGCGAGTGCCCACGTCCTGCAGCCGCGCAAAGAGCTCACGCGTGTAAACATTGTCGGTATCGCCACGGTGCATTAGGTCCATGCAGCGATGCCACAGCGCGTTTGCATCCTGATCTGCGGGCCGTCGATTCTCATCATACGGCGCAAATGCCACGCGGTGCGTGCCCGAGAGGTGGTGGTCCTCGAAGTTGGCCTCCTGTCCGCTGCGTGCCTGCAGGTGCGCCCCGCACACGTACTCCACCTTAACCAGCTCCTCGCTACCGAAACCGCGAAGCCCCTCTTGTCGCGCACTTGGCATGATGGCAACGAACTTGCTGCGCAAAGAGCAGTAGCGAAGCACCGTCCCCTCTTCAGGCGAGCGGCCGTCGTCACCAAAATGGCGAGGTGAGACCGTGACAGGCTGACCCGGGTAGAACTTCTGCGTAGACTGCGACTCGAAGCAGAGCGACTCCTTGGCTTGCCCGCCGCCAGCCATAACACCACCCGGGAGCAGACCGACGTTGTTGACGTTGCGACCGTTGCCGTCAACGACCTCGATGCCACCGAGCTGGCGCTGGTCGCGCACAAAGATGTACTGCTTGTTGGCACCTGGCTCAGGTCCCGTGTAGCCGCAAACCCTGGAAATGACGGTGAGCAAGATGTCTTTGAAGTGCGGCAGTGTGTTCTCGTCCTCCTCAAAAACAATCACCGACGCCTGGCGTATGTCGTTGCACACCGTCCGGCACTTTGGGCTCGTGGTGATCTCGGCCACAATCTTTGGGACGTTGTCCCACGACCACTCCTCGCCAAGCGTTGCCCAAAACTTCTTTGTGTAGGTGCCGCAGATTGCCTCGGCGTTGATAACTCCGTGCCGCTTGAGCTGCTTGTGCGAGTGCACAACAATTTCGTTGCTCAGCGTGGCCACGAGTACAACCTCCTTGGCCGCCTGAATGACTGACACCCCGACACAGTACACCTCGGTCTTGCCAGAGCCGGGTGGACCGCTGAGCTCGATATTCGAGCGTTGCTCGAGGATAGACTTGAAGGCCGCAATCTGGCCGGGCGTGTACGGTTGGCCGTTTGGACGATGCGTTGGGACCGCCAAAGCTGTACTAGGGCGCTCGGCGACGCATGGCTTCGCCGCAACAAGGAACGTCTCGGACACAACAACATCTCCATGGTGTTGTATCCCAATGAGATAATGGTCAACCCCGTTTGTCTCGCCTCGCCACTCCCGAACGAGGTGAACACCGGGATGCGGAGTTGGACACGTACGCAGGATGCTCACATAGTCGTTCGGTTTGAACTTGGCGGCAGCTGCGACCTCTCTGGCAGCGGCAACCGTACCCGCTACATTCGCAGACGAGGAAGATACGACCTCGAGGTGCTTCCATGCAACCGATCGCACAGCACTGCCACCTACCTCCAGGCGGACGGAAGCGGTGTGCGCAAGTGCATCGGTGTCGACGACCACAACGGGCATCCCAATCCAGTTGCTTTCCTTGTCAATAACTCGGAACTTGGAGACAGCAAGCACACTTTCGCGCTCAACGTCTGGCACCTTGTCCAGGGTGAGCCTCTGCGACTGTGACAAACCGTTGCCATCTTGCGACACTGACTCCACCGCTTCCGGCGGAAACCAAGCTGCCTCCGAGTCGTCAAACTGGACGCGCAAGCTATTGGTCCGACCAGAGTCTACTTTGACAATCTGCCCTCGTCGGCCTTTGTAAGGACCGGGGTAGCTCTCGAGCACACAAACTGCATCGCCGACTATCATTGCTGCTGCAGTTACTACGGGCAGCTAGAAGAAAACTACCGAATTTGGTTTCAGTATATTCGGACACGGCGAGACGTAAAAGGAAACAAGACAAGTGTCGCAAGAAGTCAACGTCATCAGGACAACAACACGACATGTACATGTACTTAGCAGGCGCTCAACGCCTTCTGCCCGATCATACGCCAGGAGCTCCAACAGCCGGAGACAAAGTTTATTGTGTTGACATACACCACAGGAGGCCCTCAGCTGTACCAATGCCCTTGTTCATCTACCTAAGGTACCAACGCAAGAGAGCGGCTTGCTCCAAGCGCCTCCCAAATTGTCGCGATAGACGAACGGCCAAAAACGGTTCAAGCAAAGCAGCGACTCACGGGCGGTGATCAGATCCCTCGCGAGAGATTATTATTGCAGTGCGGATGACTCAAAGCGCCCAGGCGGACCTGGCTAGCCAGGCTGAGCCCCTCGCAACCGACCCTCGACCACCCGCTCACGATTATGAGGCGAAAACCGGCTATCAGCAGCAACTGACAGACCGCACGCAAACACCTCTGCCAACCAAAAGAAGAATGGTCACCGCAAAAGCAAGACTGGAGGCGCCCAGGCGGACCTGGCTAGCCAGGCTGAGCCCCTCGCAACCGCCCCGCGACCATCCGCTCGCGATTATGAGTCGAAAACCGGCTATCAGCAGCAACTGACAGACCGCACGAAAACACCTCTGCCAACCAAAAGAAGAATGGTCACCGCAAAAGCAAGACTGGAGGCGCCCAGGCGGACCTGGCTAGCCAGGCTGAGCCCCTCGCAACCGACCCTCGACCACCCGCTCACGATTATGAGGCGAAAACCGGCTATCAGCAGCAACTGACAGACCGCACGCAAACACCTCTGCCAACCAAAAGAAGAATGGTCACCGCAAAAGCAAGACTGGAGGCGCCCAGGCGGACCTGGCTAGCCAGGCTTAGCCCCTCGCAACCGACCCTCGACCACCCGCTCACGATTATGAGGCGAAAACCGGCTATCAGCAGCAACTGACAGACCGCACGCAAACACCTCTGCCAACCAAAAGAAGAATGGTCACCGCAAAAGCAAGACTGGAGGCGCCCAGGCGGACCTGGCTAGCCAGGCTTAGCCCCTCGCAACCGACCCTCGACCACCCGCTCACGATTATGAGGCGAAAACCGGCTATCAGCAGCAACTGACAGACCGCACGCAAACACCTCTGCCAACCAAAAGAAGAATGGTCACCGCAAAAGCAAGACTGGAGGCGCCCAGGCGGACCTGGCTAGCCAGGCTTAGCCCCTCGCAACCGCCCCGCGACCACCCGCTCACGATTATGAGGCGAAAAGCCAGCAAGGAGATCGACGAGGATGGCGTGTGCAGCTCCATTTTATTTTGTTGCGGACGATCGTTTCGAGGTGCAAGTGAGCACCTGCGTCGACCGCACGCTCTACAAGAGTGCGCAATCGGCGGTTGGGTGTGCCGCGCATAGGTGTACGTGACGAGTCGGCCCGACTTGTTGGGGCCTGTGCTGGTGCCGGCGGTCGTCGACTGAGGGCCAAGGAAGGAGGCAGATAATCGTCGTCCTCGTCCGACGAGTCGACGCGAGCCGCTGACGCAGATGCCTTGTGCCCGGCGTCTGCGCAACAGCCAGAGCGACAGGCTGCTCTTTTCCCTGCACACTTTTGAGTCTCCGACCATACGCGGTGCGCTGTGCGTTGGCTGAGAGGGCTGCGACCTCGGCTGGACTTGCATATGGCGTCATCTCCCTGACGCTCGACGCGCATCTGCTGCAGGACGTGGCCGAGTTGTGGTTGACAACGTCTTTGCAATGCCGACACAGCCACCACTCCAGCCGCAGCTGCGGCATTGTGCGCCATTCGGCGGCCGACGGTATCTGACCGCGCTGCGCTCGCAGCTGCAAAGACACCGCCGCAAATGCCGCCGGACCCGCATCCGGAAGAGCCAGGATTCCAGCTGCCGTCGATGCTCCATCGCCCGCAACAAGCGTGCGATGCTGCGTCACTGCGCCAAGAGGCGCAGCAACCTCGACCTGGGTATTGCTCGGGTGCGCAACGCCCACGGGGCGAATGCGATTGCCTGGCCCTATCGCCAAACGGCTCTGCTCCTCCTCTTGTCTGGCAGCAAACGCAAGCTGCGGCACAGGCCGCGTTGGCGCAGAGGAGGCGGCAAGCCTCAACGCGCCTACCCGTGGCATGCCGCCGGATCGGGCCACGACTAAGGCTGCAGGATTCGGCCCCGCCTGCTGCGAGTGCCCTCCCGTTGCGGTGTCCATTTTGCGTGCAGTGGGACTACAACTGTAGCGCGTCGGCAGGATCCCCAAAACCGTATAAGCCCCCCAAATTGAATTCGACCGCCCAAAGCCGTCCCCCCCCCGCAAACTCTAAACCACCATAAACTACACAAAACAGGGGCTCCAGGCCCCAAATGACGTGTGAGTGTTAGAGTTGTTTGGTATTGAAAATCTCTCACACGCCGCAGCAGAAACCGCTGCCGCCGTCCACAACCAGTCAACCACCGCTGACGCTGCAGCCACAACCAGAAAGGTCGCCTTGCCTCGTCGGTATACAAAATCTGCTTGGTTGGCCTGTCAGATCGCACTTTTCTCCCAGTAATAAGCTAACGTACATTCCCGTAGGAGGACTCTGCTGACAGGGTTTGCGATGAGGAGCGACCCGAAGGGTTTCTCGGAGGTATTTCAGGCAACGCCCACAGGAAACCGGTAAAAACCCTGCTCTGCAAGAGCGAGTTTTGTTGCTTGTTTGGCTTCATCGGTCGTCCCGTGACTGTCGCGCCGCCGCGTTGCACATTGGACACATGCGACGGTCGGCGCACGTGGCATCCTGAAAGGCCGCGCCTCGGGAGTCGAGCTGCCTCGACACAGCCGCGAGGGCGGACACTGGCCCTGCACGAGCCGGCTGTCCGGCGCTCTGGTGCTCGCAGCGGTGCAGCTGGAGTCAGAGACTCGACCTCCACCTCCGCCCCGCCGCCAGTTCCACCGGACTGAGGGCGGCTGGAGCTGCAGCACGATCTGGAACTACGTGCTGAAGGGAGACGATTCGACCTACCTGGCCAACTTCCGCTGCACGCGGCGCCAGTTTGATGATCTCGTTGGACAGCTGGAAGCCGGGCGCCATACATGGTGAGCAGGCTAGGCGGGCGGGGCAACCCGACACTCTTCCGACCTCGGAGCCACGGGAGGGTGCTCAAGGAAACGGAAGCGGCGAAAGCCGACGGTTGGTAGGAATGGGGCTCTGGCCAGATTTGGGCTTGGGAGTGGGCCGCGTCGAGTTTTGGATCTCGACGCGTCGAGAATACTGCGATTTTTTTGAACGACTAGCAGGTTGGCTCGCTAGTCGCTCGCCGGGCCCGCGCAGCACGCGCGGGCCTTTTTTGTGGTTGATAAAGGTGGCACCTTCGACATTGCACTTGGAGCACTTGGAATGCATTGCGTTTCTTTTCTTTATAGGCTGTCCTCCTATTTAGAGGATTCCTAAGGCTAAGCTTAAAGGCCCGCTAAACGCGCGAGGCGGTGGCGGCGGTGGTGCGGGGGATTGGCAGGGGAGGCGGCGGGATTGACAGGGGATGGGGCGGCCACGAGCGGAGCGGCGGCGAGAGGGGGGGCGGCGGCGAGGGCGCGAGGCGCCAACGAGCGAGGAGCCCGCGCCATCAGAGGGACGCGCCGCTGCGAGATGGAGGGCGGCGGTGACGGAGGCAAGGCGCGAGGCGGCGGCGGCGGCGGCGGCGGCGGCGGAGGCGGCGGAGGCGGCAGCGGCGGCGGCGGCGGCGAGAACGGCGGCACCGAGTTGTCTCGGTGAGCGGAGCGGCGGCAGGAGGAGGAGCAGCTCGCTGTTGAGCGCTTTTGAGCCTGGGATCCCATGCCACTGCGACCGGCGTGCCCGGGAACAGAGATCGCGCGCGCGCCGCCACTCACGACGCGCGCGCGATCTTCGCGGAGCCGGGTCCCCAGAGGGAAGCGGTCTTCTCGGCCGACGTCCAGCGGCGCGCAAGGACAGGCGCAGCGGTGCACCGCGCCGCGTTGATTCGCGACCACCGTCGGCCGCGGACGGCGGCGGCGTGGCGGCTGCGGGCGCTCGCGAGACGCGCCGCTCTGCTCTGGTACGGTTCGTTCGACTCGTTGTGCCGCCACACGCCCGGCGGCCGCGGGTCCCAGAAGTGGTTGCGCGGGCCTCTTCCTTGCGGCCGCGGGACGGCGTCGGGCACGTCGTCGGTCGCAACAGATGCGCGGCGAGCCGCGGCACGTCGTTCCTGGCGCTGGTGGTTTGAGGTCGGCATCGTCGAGAGTTCGGTCGACGAGTCGAGAGCTTCAGCTGGCCGAGGGTGCCACCTTTGTGTGCTCTTTGTGCACGAAATGGAAATACAGTGGGTTGCGGGCATTAAGAAAACAGGATTCCGCGGCACGCCGCCGTTTCTAAGCCTTTCCACAGCCCTCATCCACCCCACGCCGTGGTTTCTTAGCTCCGGCCGGGGCACTCAAGCCAGAGCGCCGGCCCGAAGGATTTTTAGGTAAGAGGTAAGCTGCGGTCCGCGAGGGCGATGCCAGAGTCTGCCGCCGAGTCGGCTCTCTGTCTGGATGACGGGAAGACGCACACACGCCTCCATTCACTCCATCCACTCAGAACACCGCAGACTTGGAAAGTGACAAGTGCGCGCGCCGCAGGCGAAGAGAAGTTTTGAGCTGGGCCTCCCGTTCACACTCGTGTCTGGCCTTTTCTCGGGGCCGCGCCTGCGGCGCGCCGTGGTTTCTTAGATTTTTGCGGAAATCGCTTGGTAGGGTTTCTTAATGGTACGTTTTCTTAATGCCCGCAACCCACTGTAAGAACCGGCCCCCGCGAGCGTGGAATAGGACCGCCGCAAGCGGCGTGGCGTGGAGCGGTTGAGCGTCCCTCCGGGGGCCCCTCTGCGCCGGGGAGGCGTTGTTGGCGGCTAGGACGCAAGCGTCCGTCGCCGTTTTCAAACTCGGGGCCCACTCCGCTACGCTCCGACCCGAATTTGGAGGGCCATGAAATTTAAGGGGTTGCTGCGCAAAAGGGGTGGCGCGCGGGCGCGCGCGGCGGCGGGCGCCGAGCGCGGAGCGGCGAACAAAATGACGTCGGAAAGCTTTGCATCAAGTGTACAGTAGGCTCTACAGCACGGAACCAGGGCGCGAAGTATCCTCTCCGTCCCGTGCAAACGAGTGGCGAGGGCCGGGGAGGGCGCACGCGTTCGCGTGGGAGGCGGGGCGAGGTGCCGCAACGCGGCGCCGCGCGGCGGAGCGCACGCAGTGCTCAGTCGTGGCACGCGTCTCGACCCAGCCTCACCCACCCCTCGCGGAGCTCACTAGGGATAAGAAATAAAATATTCTTAGCTTCAAGCCCCCCTCCGAGACTAGAGACAGTCACCACCCGTACACAGGAGAGATGGGAGTGCCCCCCGCCCCCACTTGCCCTGACTACACAGGATAGCGTGCCCCGATAACGGCGACACATAGTGGGGGACACTGCGCAAGGAGGGGGTGCGAAGGCTCATTGGGGTACTAGGTGGGACCATGAGGGGGGGTGGGCGGGGTCCTGTGGGGGTGAAATGTTGCGCGGCGAATTCGAACCTACCCCCTCGCCGCGCCGATCCTGGTCACCCACTTCGCCCGGATCAAACATGCCATCCTGGCGTCGGCAGAGGTGATCAGTAAATTCGCCACCCACAGTCAGATCATAGCTAAAGTCGCATGGCGAGAGCGAGTGACCAAGCAGGTTGCGGCTGAACGTGCTCGACTCAATGATGTAGTGCAATGGCTGCGGGCCATAGGCTATCCCGTACTTGGCTGCAATCTCGCTGATGTCCATGTTGCGACGTTCAGGATACAACGTCGACGTCTGCATGCTCTCCAGCTCCTTTGCTGCACCATCGTAATTGCTGAAGTGGATCACACCGCGGAAGTGCAGCAGTCGTTGGTGGAGTGGCGGTTTGTGCTGGTCCGCAAACTTGGGAGTAGGGGGCGTGCCAGCGAGAATGAGGCATCGCATGGCCAGCGAGTCGCCACGGTTGAGCACCATGCGAGCCAGCAGCAGCTTCACACGCAGTAGAGTACGCTGTGCAACGCACCAGCCGCGGCGGGGAATCCAATAATCCGATAGTCCGCCTGAGCTCCACCACGCCGGCCATTGTCCGCTCAGCTCTGCCTCGTACGCAGTCCACCAATTGCGTGCGGCCCTTGGAATGACACAGTGCTCTTGGCACGGCTCCTCCATCCCGGCACCGCATAGCTCACACGGGTCTTCGTCAAACTCCTCTCGCGCCCGCGCGTTTTTGCACGGGTAGCAGTTGACGCCGCCGCCCCTCAAGCGCCACATCTCAGGCGCAAACTCGACGTCCAGGTACTCGGTGGTACCATCGACAATGCAACGCAGTGCATGTAAGAAGCGCACCAGCTCAGTTTTGTACTCAACCCACTGGAATGCATCGGTGTACCACGTCTGCTTCCATTCGCACGGCCGCATTGATTGATAGCACACGCGTTTGACCGGCGGCTGCGCTGACCACTTGTGGTTGTCGTGGTCAGCGTTGCGTGGGTCTAGGAGAGGCAGCTGTAGCCGTTCTGCCTGTGCCTCGGCACTCTCATTGAATCGTGGCTGTGTCGTCAGCGCGGGCATAGCATCGGCCAGTGATCTCCAGAATCTTGGCGGTTTGTCGGTGAGCCCGGCGCACGTAAAACTTTCTCGTGGCACCCATGGCATCGGGGGCGGCTGCGGTGTGGGATGCAGCGCGGCTGGGTCGGGTAGAGGAACCGTATCACCCGGCTGCTGCTGACCCGGCGGTTGAAGCGGGGGAAGTGGTGGGAGAAGCGGCTCGGCCTGTGCGGTGAGGTCAGTGCGCCTGCCCTGTTGCGTCCAGTCACGGACCCATGCGCCCTGCATCACAGCAACCGCTCGCCACTGAACGTCGTCGAACTCGATCGCCTGCCACGGCCCCGGCAAGATGCATTCACCCCACTCACCAGCTTGGCCCACCTGGTACGGATAGCGCAGCTTCTGGAGCACGATGAGCGCCTCAAGGGCATCGCCGCTGCACCACAGCGCGCAACGGGATAGCAGCTGCTTGTTCTCTCCGCACTCCTTCAGCCGCAGCAGCGCCGCCTCGGTCGCAGGCGTGAGCGTAAGCCGGTATGTCTTATGCCGGTCCGGCATATGGTGACCCCAGAGATGTCGCGATGCGCTTTTCCCCGATCATATCCGTCCGTCCAATCGAAGGAAGCGCTGGATCGCCCATGTTATGGAGGTAGCCAAACTTGAACCGATATTGTCGTATTTGGGAGCCACGGTCCTGCTTTTGTTTTCACGGGTTACGAAGCTGAGTACCGCGTCTGCGACGCGGGCGCCTTGCGGGCAGAGCCCTTAGTCCCCCTTTATCTTGCGCGGTCAATATATCTCTTTGATTTTTCGCTTGACCTCGGTGGGAAATCGCACTAGCAAAAACCGATTTGCTGTGGGGGGCGTAAAAGTAGTCCACGCGTTTCTAGATGGAGTGGAGTGAACGAGAAGATCGGTCCGCGTCAGTCAGCGCACTGATCGAAGGGGGACGTGTGGTCTGTGGACTACAAGGTAAACCGCCTTTTGTCTCCATCGCGGACGGGAATATCACGGTCACGTCGCACAGGGGCGATGGCGTCGACCGCGCTAGATGCGCTCGAGGGGCTCGATGCCGAGAATTCGCAAGTTGAGGGCGAGGACGGCGGCGGTGAGCTCGCACAGCGCGAGTCTCGAGGCGGTCACCTCCGCCGTCGGCGCGCCGAGGACGGGGCAAGCCTGCGCACAGCGCACGTCGCGGCGCGGCGTTGAGGGGGCGGAGAAGGGCTGGCGCGGGGGGCGAGCTGGGCAGGTGCGCCTCGTAGAAGCGGTTGAAGTCTCCCGCGAGCTCGAAGATGTACTCGCACAGCTTGGACGGCAGGAGGTCGCGCTCTACGTCGGACACCACCTGGCCCAGCCGCAGCAGCTGCCGCGCCAAGTTCACCTCGGCCGGCTCGCGCAGCACGAAGCCGGCGGCCGAGTCGGCGGCCGGCGCGTCGAGCGAGGCGGCGGCGGCGGCGCGGCGCTGGATGCCGCGGACGCGCGCGTAGGCGTAGAGCATGTAGGGCGCGGTGTTGCCCGTGAGGGAGAGCATCTTGTCGAAGGAGAAGCGGTAGTTTGACTGCCGGTTCATGGCCAAGTCGGCGTACTTGACGGCGCCGATGCCGACGGCGGCCGCCACGCGCGCCACGAACTCCTCCCCCTCCTCGCGCCCCTCCGCCTCGAGCCGCGCCTGCGGGACGGGGCGTGGACGTGTCGTGGACGTGTCGTGGACGTGTCGTGGGCGTGTGCCCCCTCCGCCCGGAGCAGCGCCTCGACGTCGGCGCGCGCGCGGCGCAGCGCCTCGTCGAGCAGGTCGGCGAGCTTGACCGTCTCGCCGGAGCGCGTCTTGAACTTCTTGCCGTCCTCGCCCTGGACGAGCCCGAAGGGGACGTGCTCGAGCGAGACCTGGCGTCCGGGGAGAGGGTTAGGGGTTCGGGTCCGGGTCCGGGTTCGGGTTAGTAAAAGCGAGGCCTGCAGGCGGACGAGGAGAGGGGGGTGCAACCCCGTCCAGGGGCGGGGCTGGGGGGTGGCGAGGAGAGGGGGGGGAGAAGGGGGGCGGGCGGGCGACCGAATCGGGCGCGAATCCGGCCCGCCGCGCGATCTCGAAGACCTGCTGGAAGTGGAGGGCCTGGCCGGCGTCGGTGACGTAGAGGACGCGCCTCGCCTCCTCGTCCGCCACCCGCTGGCGGATGGCCGCCAAGTCGGTCGTCGAGTACATGAAGCCGCCGTCCGACTTTTGGACGATGACGGGCAACGGCTCGCCGTCGCGGTTCGTGTACCCTTCGAGGAAGACGCAGCGAGCGCCGTCCGACTCCTGCAGCAGCCCGCCCGCCTGCGGGGACAGTGCCACGGTGTGTACAATCATCATCAGGTTCACATTCGTATTGTACTCCGCCCGCCTGCGGGGGGCAGCCTCGCCGCACAGGGTGAGCTTAAGGGTCTCCGCGTGCCCCACTCGAGCGGCGGCCCGCCTCGAGGTCCTCGAGGACCGAGGGGAGGCGCGGGTTGTAAAAGGACTCCCCTGCGAGAGGATGGGGGGCTGTAGAAGAGAGGACGGGGGGCTGTAGAAGCGGGGGTGAGAGGAGCTTCTAGCAGGCTGTGGAAGGAGAACACACCGCGCGTGACGAGCCGCTCGTCGACTCGCAGCGCAGAGTACACCTGCCGGAAGGGGGGGCGAGGGGGGGGGGCGAAGTGCGAGGAGGCAGGTGCGGCGAGGCAGGTGCGGCGAGGCAGGTGAAGCGAGGAAGGCGCCTTGGAGAAGGCTGCCTCGGAGGTGGCGCAGAGCGATCGCCACGCGGCGAGCGACGCCTGGAGGGTTGCAGAAGAGAAGAGACCATGGACTCGAATATGGAGGTACGAGGAGGGGCGTGAGGGGGGGGGTGCAGCTGAAGGGCGAGCGGCGCAAGTCCAGCGGCGCCTCATCGCCGCTCTGCAGCGCGACAACCTCTCTGCGCGAGGCGGCGGCGAAGTCCTCCTCCGCGTCGAAGCGCGCCTTGGCGGCCTTGTAGAAGGCGACCTGGCGCGAGGAGAGAGCGGCGTCACCGCGTCGGTCGGGCAGGGCGAGGCCAGGCCGGGGCGAGGGGCAGGCGCCAAATCAGACAGCTCCGCCTCCGCTGCACCGGACGCCACCTCTGGCGCCGTCTGCCGCAGGTGAGTGATGAGCATGCCTGAAGGCGGTGCGTGCGGTAGTTGAAGTGACGCCTCCCTCCTCGCAGCCCGGCCGTGGGGGAGGGGCTGCCGAACTGCGTCCCCCAGTCTCCCACGTGGTTGAGCCGCACCTGTTCACACCTCGACCCGTGAAGAGACGCTCTTCACACCCCAGTGCCCGTGAAGTGCAGAGGCCGGCACCACGGGGTGGCCTCGCAGCTCGAGCAGCCGCGCGAGCGTGTCGCCTGCGAGGAGGAGGCGCGCGGGGCGGAGGAGTGGAGAGAGGGCCGCCGTCGAGCACCACGGCGATTCGGCGATTCAGCGGGCGGCGGGCGGCGGGCGGCGGTATGCGGGCGGCGGGCGGTAGGCGGTGGGCGGTGGACGGACGGCGGTGGTCGGTGGGTGGGCGGTGGGCGAGAGCGGTGAGTGGCGGGAATGGCGGGCGGGGAGTGGTGTGTGCACCGATGATGGTGGATCGGAGGTGGCCGACGTGCATCTCCTTTGCGATGTTCGGCGACGAGTAGTCTACCACGGTGCGCAGCGGCTCCGCTGCTCGCGGGACGGCGCAGCGGCCAGAGGCGTCCGCCGCCATGACTGCCAGCTGCTGCTCGAGGAGCGCGTTGCGCAGCCTCAGGTTGAGGAAGCCCGGCCCGGCCACCTCGGGCGCCTCGCAGAGGTCGGACACCTCGAGCGCTTCCACCAGCTTCGCCGCCGCATCGCGCGGCTTCATCCCGAGCGGCTTGGCCAGGGCAAGCGCCGCGTTGCACTGAAAGTCGCCAAACTCGCGCTTCGTGGCCACGGCGAGCATTGGATCGCTGGAGGCGTAAGACCCGCCAAACGCGGAGCCCATGGCCGCCTGCAGCCGCTCGTGCAGCTGCGCCATCAGGTCCAGCGTCTCGTCCTCTGCCGCTGCGGGCGCCGCAGAGGAGCCTGCGGCAGCGGCAGTCATCGACGTTGCGAGGCGTGGACCGCCAGCGCTGCGAACGGCACGAAGCGCGACATTGCCACGAGGCACCACTGCCACGAGCATTCCAGCGAGCAACATGGAGAGATTTTTGTGTCCTTGAGACGTAGGGTACAAGTCTTCTTGTGGCGGTGCGGCGCCTGCACGTGCCACGTCGAAGTAGCTAGTAGGACCGCCTCCTTTGCGCGACGCCGGGAGCGGCTCAGACGTGTGTTTTTCTTCCAAATTTGCTGCACAGGCAAGGGCAAAGGCTGCGCTGGCGTAATGTGCCGACGAGAATGGCGACACATTGCCGACAAAAACGCACCTGCTTTGTATTTCAACCAGCACGCTCACCTGCTTTGCCGTTAGCTCATGTCTCAAGCCTCAAGCGTCATAGAGGCCCCGCCAGCTCCACCTCAAAAGGGAACGGCCCTCCTGTTCCATTCCTCTCCCACCACTCCTCCGGGTCGCCGCCCTCCTTTCCAAGCACGCGGCGGAGGCCCTCCAGCACCGCGGCCCGATGCGACGCCGGCACCACCACCGCCCCCGGCGCAGCAGCCTCGCGCTGCCTGCGCTCCGCGCGGTGGTGCCGCGCAATCTCTGAACCGACGCTGTTGGCGTCCGCAACCCAATTGCGCTTGGATCCCGACCCGGCGCTGCCGACCGTCGCTGCTGTCGGGGCGGTAACGAACGAGCCGCCGCTGCCTGCCGCGCACCCGCTGTGCAGCACCACGCCGTGCGGGATGCACCCGGCCTCGCCGCCCGCGCTCGCCGCCGGCTGCTCCATGCGGGCCTCGTCTCCCCGCGCCGCCGCTTCCTGGCGGCGGCAATCCTCCGCATCTGCCCCTCCCTTCGCCTCCCACGCCTGTCAGCGCCCGCATCTCGGCCGCGAGCTCGAGCGCCTGCTCCTTGCTGACCGCGCCCGAGTGGAGGAGCTGGCGGATGCAGTCCAAGGGCGGCCGCCAAGCATTCTCGTCACAATACCACGAGAGGGCGCGGAGCAGGGCCTCCCGCTGCGAGGCGTGCCCCGCCGCCTCCATCGCCAGCCACGCGTCGCGGAAGCCGTTGTGCAGTGCGGTCACCGCATCCTCCTCGAGGAGGAAGGGCTCGCCCGACGGCTGGGGCTGGAGGCGGAAGTGGCGGGTCGTCCTGCAGCCGCGATCCCCCCGGAGCGGCCACGTCTCCTCGAGGATGAGGTGCGGCTGGTGCGGGCTCGCCCCCCCAGGCAGGCGGCCGGGGCGCAGAAACACCACGCGGCCGACCTGCAGGGTGGCGGTGCGAGGCTTCTTGCGTGGTTTGGCTCGCAATGCGTCGGCGCCGAGGCTCGGGGCCGCTCCCCAGGACGGCGCGCTGCTGCTGCTGCCGCGGGGCGGCCTGATGCTGTACTTCTTATTGCGGTCGTCCAGCCGCACGTGGAGGGCGACGAGCTCCTCCTTGATCCGGTCCGCCTGTGCGGACGTGTCGTGGACGTGTCATGGACGCGTCATAGATGGGCGGAGGCTCGATGATAGGGAGATGTCATCGAGCCTCCGCCCACTCGCGCCGCGAGCGGAGCGCGTCCCGCCGCTCGAGCAGCTCGAGGACCCGCAGCAGGGTTGGGTCGGCTCCCACTGCCCCCCCGCCACCGCCTCCGCCGCTGCCCGCTCCCTCGCACCCGCCGCTGCCCGCCCCCTCGCGCCCGCCCGGACCGCTCCCACTCGCGCCGTCGCGGGAGGGCGGAGCGCCGCTGCCGCGGTCGCGCTCGGGCTGTGCGTCGCCGCCGAGCCGAGCTGGCTTCGACGCCGCCTGGTCACCGTGGCCCCGCCGTCTGTGGCCGACGGCGAGCCTGCTCGGGTCCCGCCTCTCCTAGGGCGGCGCGGGCAAGCACTTAGAGAGAGGTGGGGGGGTTGTGGAATGGGGGGCGCGCCGGCGCGCCTGGTCGAGGAGCCGCTGCAGCATGGCCTTGGCCTCGCCGTCCGTCAGCTCCTTCCGGACGAGGGGCGTGATCTGGCAGATCCGCACCGTCCAGTGCCTGCGGGCGTCGGACAGCGGGCGCGAGACGGGGTGCAGCACGTCCATGTTGCAGCAGGCGAGGTCGGGCGAGGTGTCGAGCTCGACCTCCCGGCCGCGGTACGTCTTGAGCTGCTTCCTCCGGCCGAGCAGCCGCGTGTCCCACAGCGTGCGCGTCGCGTACACGTGCGGCGACACAATCGCCTCAAACAGCCAGCCGCTCGGGCCGCGCTCGCCAAAGATGGCCAAGAGGAGCGCGTCGCTCAGATCGGACAAGGAGGGGTACGTGCGCGACTCTCGCAGCGCGCGCCGCACCCGCTGAACCGCCTCGTCGCCCAGCCGCTCGGCGAGCACGCCGACGGGGTCGAGCTCGATCACGCGGGAGGTGCCCAGCACAAAGAGGTCGTAGTCGACGACCTCGACGATGGCGAGGGGCCGCGAGCCCTCCGCCGGCGGGGCGGGGTCGAGCGACCAGCAGGGGTCGGTCGCGTCCGAGGGGAGCCGCCCGGGCGGGTGGGCGCGCCAGCCAGGCGGCTCGGGGAGGTAGGTGTAGACGGAGGCGGAGGGCCGCACCATGTGCCGACGTGTTTCTTTCCGAGCCAAAAAGAGTTGACCCTCCGGGGCGGCCCCGCCCCTGGGGGCGGGTTTGGTTCAAGGCAGGCAGCGAGCCGAAGCTCACACGCTGCGTGTGACACGGCGGACGAAAAGGAAACAGAGGCTTGCTAGGAAAGCTGACACAGACGATACTATCAGCTTTTTTTTTCGAGGGGTAGAGAGATGGAGCTGCGCGACACTATCAAGCCATCTCCTCCCGTCTACGTGCTGCAGCAATCGTCCTGATGCAACCGGTGTGAATACGGACAAAGAAGAGTCGGGACGGAAATATTTACCTATGAACACACCAGTGTTGTGCCAGTGAGGGAGGGCGAGACGATCGGAGGGGTCCCGTACCATGCGGAATCGACCCTATCAAGTGCTCAAGTGCTCAAGTAAGAGGAAAGAAACCTCGCGCTGATGATTCGGCTGCCGCTCGCCTGGCGGAGCAGGACTCGAAGGAATGCTAGGCAAATGGATGGTGGGTCATATGTGCACATACCGCATTTTAGGTGCTGAACCGCTTCGTGCACCCCAACCAGTCTCCCACGATGCAACTTTGTCGGAAGGCCCCCGCACGGGGGGTCCCGGCCGACGTCATGCGCGTCTGGACACGGCCCTCCGTACACGGAAACAGGGTACCGGAGGCATTCCCGAACTCAAAACAGGGTACCAAGGGCAGATATGAGCTCAGCTCAGTGAGATCTAGCAGCACATACCCTTGGTACCCAGAATAGTCCAGTCTGAAAAAAGTCGGTCCGACCTCGCGGAGCCGTCTGGCTGTCTGCAGAGCCCCCGCGGCGCGCGGCACGCCTGGTCCTCTCGCGGCGACGAGGAGGGAGCGAGCGCCGAGAGCAGCGTCAATCCTGTGTGCGAGGGGGAGGAAAGACACTTATGCTCGTAGGTCAGGGAGGCGTAGATGGCCGGGATCAACCACCTGCACTCGGATGAGCCGCAGCCTAATCTCCGCCGTCGCTGCAGCAAGCAGCAGCTTGCCAAAGCGCAAAGGAGCCGCCAGCGTGGAGTATAGATGCCAAAGCCCTGCTCCATGGTGTTCGCCACCGATACGCGAGCCCCACTTTTCTTGCTGCGCACTCTCATCTATTTTGTGGACGGGACGTAGCCTTCTGGCACGGGCAAGACCTCGGCTGGCACGTAGGAGGTTGAGGTCCGGGCTCCCCTAGTCCCATGTTGACGACACCAGTAGACAGCTCCTTGCCGAGCATTGTCCATTGATGTGCAGAGGGCCTGGTAGATGACTGGACCAAAGCACTGCACACCGGAACCAAACACTGCATGCACTTGCTCTCTTCCGGCCCCGCTGTGCTCTTGGAATGCAGCGTTGCACGGCACAGGCAGTGCGGCAAACGGTGATGCTCGGTCATCATCGCCTCCGTGCTTGTCCCTGCAGCCATACTGCGTCAGTTAGTGGCTAGGGATCCTTTTCCGGGAGTGAACCAGCGCGAGTGACTAGCCGAGAGGAGAAGAAGCGCGCCCACAGCGCGAGAGGCGGTTTCACAGTCGAAGAGTCGGTACCTCCGAACAAGCTACCACGCGCCTTCTCAGTGAGGCTTCACCGTCAGGCTCCAACCTCCAAGCCACCAGACAACGAGAAAAACCACCCACCACCATCCCTCTGACACCACCGAGGCTCTCGGAGGGGACGGGAGCTCCAAAGAAGAGCACCGCGCCCCTCCTCCAAGGCACATATGTCCCAAAAGAAGGGCATGAGAGCCAAGGTAGGAAAGAGCGGAGTTCACACTGGGTTCCGGCTCCTAGCCAGATAGGGGGTCTGTTCCCTACGGTTAGACCCCATGCAATAGGTAGGTAGGTCCGGTTTTGACCGCCCCAGAGGGCCCCGCAATAGGTAGGTAGGTGGCGGTGGTGTGGAGGGGGTGGGGGGGTAAAAGTAAAAAAACCCAAGAGAGTAGTGGGAAGGCGGGAGAATCCAAAAAAGCCGCGCAAAAAGCCACAAAACCCAGCGAGCCTCCCGTTACGCGATTGCTCGCGATGATGCGTGGCCAGCGCGGGAGCAGGTCGGCGCCGACGCTGCCAGAACTAAGACGAGACCGCTAGGAAAGGTTTCTTTTTTTAGCTTCGGCGTTACCTCGGCGAGGCGCGGCGGAGCAATGACGGATGAGCTGAAGGGGAAGGATAGAGGAGCGGGTGACGGTCCCTGCACGGGGCAGGCGAAGGGTTGGTGAGGGAGGGCGCATGCGGGGAGAGGTAGGGGGAAGGAGAGGAGGAGAGGGGGGGGGAGTAGGTCGGAACCCTACTGCACTGCCTGGAGGTCAGCCCCACGAGGAGGTCAGCCCTGCAGTCTCGCAAGTAGTGAGGCGACAGGAGAGGGGAGGAGGGAGGAGGTCGAGGCGCAGGAGGGGCGGCGTTGGGCACGCCGATGGTGTCGAGGCGGAGGGCATATGGGAGGGGAGAGGGGAAAGATCAGGCGGCGCACGGCGAGCTCGCCCCTCGGACGAGGGGCAAACTCGATCCCACACAAGGAGGGGGCATGGGGGGAGAGGAAGTGGGTGAGGAAGAGGGTAGAGCGAGGAAAGCGAGCAGTGGTCCTGCATGGGGTGGGAGTGGGGTTGGTGAGGTAGGGAGCGTGCGAGGTCCCTACTCACACAGGAGCCGAACGACGGGGAGATTGCAATCTCGCGTGCGTGACATACCACCGTACCCCCCAGTGTCACGCTAAGTTCTGGTGCACTGTCGCGATGAGGGCCAGTGGTGTGGAGGCAGCACGTAGCGAGACTGTTCTTGTCACAGCAGGTAGCTTCCTCAGGGAAGGTAGTGGGAGCAGTCAAGAAACGCTGGTGGCGCATATGGGAGTGGAGAGAACAGGGCGCGGCGCGCGCCTCCTACGAGGGTGGGTCGGCTCGGACCTGTTGCATCCGGGGGGGGGGGGGGGGGGTAAAATGAGGAGGGGGCTAAAGTGGCCAAAAGGGGGGCGGTGGGGAAGAAAAAAAATCGGCCTAATTGCCTCCCCCGCTGCCCGGGGGACCAAAAAAAACACAAAAAAACGGGGGTGGGAACCCAACCCATATTTCGTAGCCCCCCCCATTGGGGAAAGCCCCCTCCGTGGGCGCCAAAGGGGGCAAATGCAAAGAGAGCAACCCCCCCGGACAAAAAAAGGGGGGGGCTGGGATTCC